CACCTCATCTGTGATGGTGGAGAGAATCCATCCCTGAAGAATAGCATCAAGTTGGAACCATTCGTCGTCGTCGTCGGAGATGGGAGCAATAGAGCCATTGAGATAGCCATGGAGATTGAACCGCCGTGCAAGAAGGAGAAACAAGCGGCTCCACTTTTTATAGTTTGGTTGAGAAAAACTGAGTTGAATTGGAACATGAAGTTTGACATTTGAGACGGAGAAAGCAAGATGGGGAGGTTTTGGGCTAGAGGATTGAGATGTGATCTCACTGTCCGTCATGGTGGAGGAGGAGAAGCCGGCCGAGAGAGGAGGGAGGAGGTGCGGCGGCGCTGCTGCTCGGCAGAAGGGGGAGGCCGAAACAAGGGGGAGAGAATTTTAGGGTTTTTGGTGTGGCTCCGATACCATGAAGAATTATATTTTCCTTGGATTAATTATGTGAGGAGTACATGTATATATATACAACATCTCAATCCTAGTTATGGTAGGAGAGGTATTCTAGGAAAGCTATACAAGTATGGAAACAAATCATAATACAATAATATTAAATATATTTAATATATTTAACAGTTATGGCCCAGGAATGATTGCTATATACTCTAACACGCCCCCTCACGTGCAGGCGTGACCTTTTTTTTGAGTCTTGCACGTGAAACCTTAATTTTTTTAAACTGGGTGGCAGTGAGTTTCGAACTCGTGACCTCTTGGTCCTCAAAGCTCCGATACCATATCAAGGAACCAACTCAACCAAAAGCTCAAGCTTGTGGTTATAGCCCATGAATGATTGTTATAGTATGTTTGCATGTATGTATGTGTCCTTGGAATGTATATAGAATTAAAAATATCATTTGTCAAACATTGTAACTGACAATAAAAAAGTATTTTGGGCACGGAGTGTGCTGAGAAAGACAAATTATACTCCCATTTTAAAAAATAGTTTTTATTTTTAACTTTTCACAAATTTAAAGGGAATGTATTTTGAAATTGAATTTCAATTTTGTTTTTGAATGTCATGGATAAAAGTAGAATGTGATAGATAGATTAGTAATAAATATAGATGATATGGTAGCTAGGGTAATATATAGTAAGCGTAAAAGTAAAATTTTAATGAAAAACCGAAGTGTTTTATGGGTAGAGAAAATGGTGTAGGGGAATTGTTTTATTAAAGGAAGGGAGTATTATTTGTTGGAACAATAAAAAATAATTTTAGTATTGTGACTGCACTTAGAAATATAAAACATTCTAAGTTACCTACGTACCCCAATGAAGGAGATCAAGCTACAAGTAGTTCAGAACAAGATTGTTAAAAATTAACTGGATAAACCATCAAGGCGTCTGACCCTTAGAAACGCTTTCCTAAAAGTTTTCTATCTACCCTATTATATGCAACAAGAGTTACAAGATAGAACTTTCGGAATACAATGAAGAGACCAAATTATTCGGTTGCTCTATAAAAGAATCTGCTAATGTATTTTAACGAGACTTGTCTCGAGACAAAGGAGATGAAAAACATAGAAAAATATACTAATTAATATTTCATCATCATAGAATAAAAACAAGAAAAATATACATTATTTCTTCATTATTCTAAATAATCAGAGATATAATAATCAATAATAAATCATTTTCCTAACACATTTTTCCCCTCTTTTACATTGTGACATTGGCCCTATTTATAGAAAATGTTATACCCCTTTAAATGATCATATATGTCTCTTTTGTAAGAGACACTCCCATAATTAAAAGTTTCCAATTAAAATTCAAAATAAATATTTAAGAGTTATGTTATTTAAGAATAAACATGTCACTTCAAAGAGTTGTGCCCATTTATTTAAAATTCAATTTTGAATTCAAAATAAATCTCCAACAATATTCTTTTCATTTCTAAATACGTATACGTATACGTATCAATGACAATCCGTATTGCATGAATGAACCACTATACCTAAGAAAGTAAGTTGCTTGTCAACACATACGACCTATGATTTCAGACACATCATTAACTTCATGTGCTTTTCTTATTGATTAATATGTTCTTTTTTATTAAATATTTATTCCTACAGTTGCGTTGCAACTGTTCCTTTTTTAATGTTAAATGGAGATCGAATATAATTACACCCGAAACGAAAAAAATGGGTTCGACCAGTTTTTTTTAAAAAAATTTGATCTGGTCCGAAACTACTACATTTTGAATAAAGAAATTTGTTAATCTAAATCACCAAATTTCAAATAATTGCATGCTAAAAATAGGGCAAACTTGAATCTGACCTGACTAGCTGACTTGACGAAGCTAGATAAGGTTTTTACACTTATGTTCAGTGTGTTTTGCTAACAAGTTTTCAATGATTTTATAGGTACGGTTCTCTTACTTTAAAAAAAACAGAGTATTTTCTAATAAGTTTTCAATGATATTATACGTATGGGCGGTATGGCTATCTTACTATAAAAAATGGCATGTCTAAAATTCTATTGTATCTATAACATTGAGATATACAAGTATATTTTAAAATTATTAAAATATGCTGAAGAAAGTATATAATACGGAGTAGATATTACTGGTATATTTCAACATTTTTAATTATATTTTTATGCAAAATATAAGTGCTAGAATAAATTTAAATAAATAAAAAAGCATTCTTAAGTCGATCCAAAACCAATGACATTAGATCACGAACATATATTTTCCAGCTTGAAATCGAGTCAACCCAAACTTGAAATGACCCAAACCCAAATTAAATGAAATCGAGAATATTAATAAAAAAGAAAAAGAAAGGTACATAAGGGGAGGACTAAGCCAAGGCCCCTCGGAAATGAAACGAAACCCAAGCAAGAAAAGGAAAGAACAACTAAAGCCCATACATAAGTTACAAACTAAATCCAAATTGAGGATGTGTTGGCCTTGTTTATCATCGCTTCCAAGGCCTAAAACATGTGCCCAATCTAATCCCAATTAAATCTTACATTTAAAACTTATTCCAGAATGATGAAATCTGTGTCAACCCAACCCTTAAACACTCTTAAACCCTAAGCTCCTCCCTGAGGCCCTGAACTAATTCAGCCCGTTGCCATTTGAAAGTTAAGCCCTTCCCAATAATTCTTCATCCAAACCATTTGTGTATTGCCCAGCCACCTTTTTTAGTGCCCGATAGAAGTTTTGGGTAATAAACTTTTGGGATGAATTTTTGTCTAGTCCATGTTTGTTTTTGGATATGCCCAGTAATTGTGAATACTAAAGACATAATGTTATTTTCCCTGCAAAGAACATAATCAACAAATTCATAAACATATGAATGGAAATTATGTTACTCAAAAGTGAATCTTTTGGCACCTGAGTTAGTTTGCCGCTTGATCTTCAGTAGTTTTTGTGAGAGAACACACCTACAATGTAATTGTTAGTGCCCGGATAACTCACTTCACATTGCTGTTATCGTAAAAAAAAGAAATCGAATAAACACTCAAGGGAAGAGGAAAGGAGTATTTCTCCCAGAAAAATATAAATTTTTAAAATAAATGATTGACTAATAGGTCATGTCCAATAAATTCCAAAGAAGTTTGTAGAAAAACGTGATGGGTCCTGCAAGAGTTTCGTGACTAAAATTTTATTGTACAATTAGAGACTATAAGGGTTTATTTCTCACTCATGATGAATAGGGGAAGCTCTACAAATATAACTAATGGGTTACAACAGTGAAAATCAAGTCTGGTGTGGTCAGATAAAATGAGGTTAATTCATCAAAAGGACAGTATAAAGTGATGCGACATAGATGCATTACCTTTGAGAGAGAAGTTTTGTGCTCAAGCTTGCCAATAGTTTCACGAACCTGAATAATGCACACTAACATAATGCCAATAGTTTTATGGATCTCTTAGAATTTTACATTATCTTCTTCTTCTTCTGTTGGTAGAGAACAAATATGATCTCACATTGGCCTCACGTACTATTATATAATTTCAATGGCTCATCATCAACAATCTCTATAGAATAGTTATAGCAATCTCGTTTACGATAATTTGTCAATGATAGTAAAAATTCCGACCAACTAGAGGCCTTTTTTCACTTGAATAGTTGAATCATTCCAATATAACAAGTCATCATCAAAATAATCTTTCTAGCACTAAGATCACCACAAAATTTGTCATCTGAAATTCCCAGTTTGAGATAACTAGAATCAACCAAGAGTAAAAATTCAATCTAATCACATGAACCTCTTTTTATATTCATGTATTAGTGCATTATGTATGTACTGTTCTATGCTGCTAAAACTTCTGTTTTGTTAGAAGATATTCACTTGTCCCAAACTGTAAAATCTTGATAGAAATTCACTTCCCTGAACTCGAATAACACGCGGCTGAAAATAGCTATAAACAATAGAAAACTACTCTTTGAGACTCTAATAGTTTGTCGCCTTTGCGGAAAGATGAAATATTCGTCGATATTAGCATCTAAAGATCACAGTTTGCTAGAAGATATCACTTTTCCCGAACTGTAAAAAAAGTCCTTGTTTAGGAAATAGATTGTAACCGAACAGTCAGCAGTAAAAAAAACATCCTAATAAAAATTCAGTTTTCCAACTCGCAATACTTGGTTTAGGAAACAAAATTCAACCTAACAGTAGCAACAATTTGTTTAGGAAACAAATTTCCACCTAACAGATGCAATTTTCTCAGTATATAAATCTGTTGTTTGCTTTGCGGGAAGGGCTGTTCTCTATTCTTAATTTGGTCCAACACCACTGCATGCAAAACTTAATGAGTACCAAACTCTCTTTGGCACTTAAACGTTAGTTGCCTTTGTGAAAAGGGTAAAAATATTCATCAATGTTAGCTAACAACGCAAGTAAAGATTACAAACAGATAAAACAGAAACAGTACTAAAATTTGGAGAGGTTTGGGTTCTGTTTATAAAAAATTACTCCGGGTATCATTTTTGTTGTTCTATTACATTCTAATTTATAAAAATACACAGTGTCTTCCTAAAAAGTTTGGAAGATTGGACGGATTCACTTCAAAGCACATTACACCTTTACTTATAGAACTATGAAAAAATACATATGAATAAGAGAGGACTATAATATTTCAACCGGGAATTTTATAAAACAGAGACGGTACTAAAAACCATAGCAAGTAAATTGGATTTAATATTTTGAGTCTTTACTGGTTCCTAAATCTATTAGTCCTTCAGTTTATAAAAATAATACAGCTAGCTTATTTTGTAGCTTATTGACCCAATAATATTTTAGGTGATGATTGTGATAGAAGAGGTAAAATCTAGAGTTTTATTTTTCAACACTAACTTATTCATCACAAGCAATTCTGTTAAAACTAAAATCTTTATTGCATCATGGGAGTTCTTTAGACCATTTTGTGATTTACAAGTTATTCTTGGTAACTCAAATCCACGGGAGTAGGCCGCCATGCTTTTGTTTTCACTTCTAAAACCAGACATTCCTGTGACACATCTTGCACCCCAAGCTTATTTATAAGGGAGTAATTAGTACTCCCTACGTCCCGTATCTATCTTCTCACTTTCTTTTTCGAGCCGTCCAATTTGATTCTTCCTATTTCTTAAAATGGAAATAAAAAAACTAAACATAGGCTATAAGGTGTGGATCACACAATCACACCATCCCTTCCTGCCAACTCTGCACCACGTCAACTTTTCTCTTTCTCATCACATCCCACCCCCTTCTAGAGGTGTGGATCACGCCCATCACTTTCATTTTGTTTTTTCTTTTGTATTCTTTTCTACAGTTATTTAAATTAAAATTACTTAGAATAAAAATATCAAATAAATATTTCATTAATATTAAATTAAAATTACAATGACATAATGCAATAAAAAAAATAGGCGGAACAAGAAAAGGTACAATTATAAAAAAAAACAGGTACAAAAAATAGATTATTCGTCATCCAGAAATGGTCTAGCGAAATTCCACAAATACACGACCAAATCGACACTGAGGTTTTGGTACGTATGCGTGTTGTGTCATGCAAACCTGTCGAGATCTTGTTGCGCTGCATCAAGTGGTTCAATGCTCTCATTGACATCGTTTTGATCGTATTCGCATTTCGCATGTCCTTCGTCTTCGATAATCATGTTATGTAGGATGCAGCAAGCGTACATAATAGTTTGTAATTTTTTTGTGTTGACGTATGAAGCACAGGTTCTGGTGCATCGACCGGTGTGGGTGCACGACTGGTGCGTGGGTGGAGAAATTTAGAAAAAAAACAAGGTGCAGGTGCGACAATGGGTGCGACAAATTGATTTATTCATTTTTATTTGTATTATTCTTTACTTTGTAAGATACATGTAGTTATATTCAAAATACTCACAAAATATAACAAGGGCGCTGCATTGTTAGCAAGGATTTCGTGATGAATAATGAATTGGGTTTAGACTTTAGATCAGTACAGTCAATAACTTCATCAATTTTTCCATCTTCGGAGTGAGTCCCAAAATCCCAATTATCCTCTTCTTTCTCTTTCTGGTTACCCAGGGTTAGCTCTTCTACCAGCATAGCTAATCCCTTGTCTGGAGAGTGATGACTTAAAACATTCATCAAGGGAGCCTTTGTAAGGTACAATCTATAAACTGTTTGCTATTTCTTTTTTAATCCCCTTCTCCATGTTTCTGTTTAGCTTTGAATTACCCCTGACATTGACTTTGGATACATATGCTTTGCGTTCACTCTTTCAGACAGTGAGGGGAATGATCGTTAAGATTCTGATGATGTGTGGGCTCTTCAATATTCTGTGGGACTGACAACTGACAAAGAGAGTTCTCTATACCACTAGGAGCCATTCCATAGCTAGTTGATGTTCCTTCCTGACAGTCCAAAATATCCCGCAAATTAGGTGAACAGAAAAATTTACTCGGGGTGATATAACTTCTTTGGTTTCCATTAAAATTTTGTGGGGCCCTTGAAAACCTCTTTTGCACTTGCTTTGGTACTGGTTCTGCCTTACCCATCTTACGTGGGTGTGGCAGAGATGGAAGCACACGAAATGCTTTTCTTGTGACCAGTTCTATTACATTGGGTACAGAAAGTAGGCATTTCTTCATAACTACAGTGAGTAAATGTCTCTCCCTCCTATTCTGATATGAATTTTGGTTGGAGGAGGAAGAGATACATCCATTTCAACACAAATTCTGGGCCCTTCCCTTCTATCTTTGTTGACCGTGTAATCATCTAATGTTATGGGTCCCCCAACAATGCAGTGACGGAATAAAATGCTTGGAAATCAACTAAATGAAGGGGCAGTTTATCAAGAGTAACCCAAACTGGGAAGATAGGACAGTCTGCATTGCTGCTACAATCTCTATTCCACTTAAAAACATGGAAGTGAATGCTGTTAACATACCAGTTGTGTTTCTGTAGCCATCTGATGTAATCCCTTTTGGAATGTGAATAAATTGTCGCTGCTATGTATCTACCGAAGCTCGAACCAAACTGAAGCCTAGTTTGCGTAAGAATTGCTTGATAATAGAAAGGTACAACAACAACAACAACCCAGTTGAATCCCACTACAGTAGGGTGATAATAGAAAGGTGAACCTCACTTTTAGATCTACCCACATCTGAGTAAAACATTATGCTCTCCACTAGTACTTCTTCTACTACGGAAAAGGAGACTGAAGCCACTCCATTGTAGAAGCCTTCCACTGTCCCAACTCCTTTCACTTTATGTTGCTAGAAAAGACCATTGAAATACTTGGTGAATTTGTGTGCTTCTCAAGAATTCTTTATTGGAGTTCCTGTTTCCAAAAGTTCTGGCAGCACATTTATAAGTCCTATCCCAAAAAAGGATAACCCTACTGATTTTGGAGATTACAGACCTATATCTCTGTCCACATTCATGAGCAAAATTAATATTGAATCCTGACTGATAGAATGCAACAAATCCTCCCCAAAAAACTTTCCCCAGAGCAAGTAAGCTTCCAGAAAGGAAATGGAAAAGAGGAACAGATTCTTCTTGTGGAAGAAACGGTTCATGAAATTGATGCCAATATCAGAGGGGGGGCAACACTATCATAAAGTATGGCCAAAGCTTTTGATAATTTAGAATGGGATTTCATTCAAGGGATTTAATGCAAGTTTGGTTTCCATGAACAGGCTCAGAGTCTACTAATGGCTAGCCTTAGGGCCACAGACTTCTCTCTGATGATCAATGGGAGCCCTTAAGGGTTTTTCAATATGACAAGAGGAGTCAAGCAATGGGATCCCCTATCCCCCCCCCCCCCTCTCTTCATCTCACTGATGGGGAAGGCCTCACTAGGATGCTAAACATCTCTATGGCTACCTCAGATATTCAGAACTTCAACACAGGTAGGGACTAGACTTATTAATGATAAGTCATCTGGCCTATGCAGATGATGCCATTATTTTCTCCAATGGGGATATCAGAAACCTCTCTAAACTAAAAGGGATTCTTAAACTCTACCTGGAGGCTTCTGGTCAGGAGATAAACCTGGGTAAATGAAAAGGGTTTCAGACAGAATGCCATCTCCAAGATGGAAGTTATACTGGAGATGAAACATAGTAAACTGCCTTTCAAATAATTGGGAGCACCTATTTGTAAGGGCAAATAAAAGAAGGCTGACTGTGGGGTTGATTGAACATTTTAGCAAATATATTGAGAGCTGGTATAGCAGGACCTTAAATCGCATGGGCTGGTTAGTTCTAATTAAACATGTGCTATTCTTCTATCCTCTATTCCTCTACGCTTAAAGCAGTCCACTCTCTACCCTATTACAGTGATCAACACTCTCCACAAGATGATGAGCAACTTCTTTTGGGGATATGAAAATGGAAAAGCTAATTACCATTGGAAAAACTGGAAGGGCATTTGCACCCCTATCTCAGAAGGGGGATTGGGAATCAGACATATTGCTATATTAGGGATCTAGAATAAGCTTTTTCCATCAAGCTTTGGGGGAACTTCAGATATCATGACAGTAATTGGGCTACAAGATCGTGAGACAAAAATATAGTACTGAGATATTTAAAGAAAAATTAACAGATTACCCTATCAGAAAAAGGATATGGAAGGTGACTAGGGTCCATGTTAAGGCAGAGGAATACCTTGGAGATATACTTCCAGCCAATTGAGTGACAAATTCAACTGGAATAAACTTTAAATTCCTAAGGTAAGCTATTTTGTGGAAAACTAATAATGAAATACTACCTTTTCCTGAGACCCTCAACAGAATGAATCTGTGTCTACCTTCATAATGTCCTTTCCACAAAGAGAATGAAGCTAGTATGAGTCATTGTCTGCTGCAGTATGGAAGTATTAAGGGAATCTGGGATCTATTTGCTAATCTGTTGGATGGACCGGCTCGGCGACCTGATTTAATCCTTAAATAGCATCTTATGGAATGGCATATAAGGTTTGAGGGTAACTCTCTGAAGGTTAATCTGAGATCGATTGTTCTGGGGGTGATTTCATGGTGCATCAGGAAACACTACGCTGCCATTAATTTTGGACATAAGGAAGTGAATATAAAATCCTTTATTTTTAATACACTTTATACTCCCTCCATCCAAAATTAACTTCAGTTCACTATTCACAATGTCAAACTTTATTCACTTTGTTGGTCTATTTCCGATACCCATTTGATAAAATAATATAGTCATTTCACCTCTAGTTTTGTAGATCTTTTGATGTAGTTTTTAAAGATGTAATTTTTATTTTTTTATTTCACACCAATTTTCATATAAAATGATTTGAAAATAACTTCAGTCGAACATCTTAACACGCAATGGGAAGATTATTGTTGGATGGAGGAGGTAGTTTTTATTTAATTATAGGTCAAAGATTGATAGTGGTTGACTGTAAAAAGTCAAAACTAAACAAATACCCGACGACGAGGTAGTGTGTGCATATATATATGTACTCTCGTGAGATCCAACTAGGATGTTGTTGTTTTACACACAAATGTTAGCCTTGTGACTGCCCGCCTCTCGCTTCTCCACTCACCTCTCGCTTTTTATTACCACTAGATTTTGACTCGTGTGATGCACGGCGAGAATTTTATGTGCTGATAGACGACATGATACATACTTGTAAAAACAACCCATAATTAGTACTCCTACCCTTCTTAAAAACACTTCCGTCCTATTTTTTTTGCACCCCATAAAATGCTTTTACTTCCACTTAAAATTTCTAAAGGGGAGAAAGACCAAAATAGAACCAAAACATTGAAAATATACCAAAATAGGACTTCCATGTTTTTATTCCTGAAATAAGACTACATTACCAAACATGGTCATATACATTACCAAAAAAGTATAGTAATTTGCACATGTACACTGCCACATTACCACAGTGCAAAGTCCTATTCTGGGAAAAAAAACATGAAAGTCCTATTTTGGTACTTTTCTCTATGTTTTAGTCCTATTTAGGATGATTTCTATTTCTAAAGTAGATCCCATTATGTAGTTATTGCGGGTAGAAGTTTTAGAGGTATTTTAGACATTTTAGGTAAAGTAAAAGTATTTTGTGGGGAGCATAAAAAAGTAGGATGGAAGTGTTTTCAAGAACGGAGGGAGTAATACAACGATAAGTCACTAACTTTCAAATTACATTGGTTTTTTGTTACCAATTTTAAAATTTGAACACTTATAAGGTAACTACCCGACCCAATTTGCCACCTTTTCCAACACAAACTATAAGTCACTAACTTTCAAATTACATTGGTTTTTTGTTACCAATTTTAAAATTTGAACACTTATAAGGTAACTACCCGACCCAATTTGCCACCTTTTCCAACACAAACTATCATAACTTTTTTGGCCCAAAAAACTCGCCCATATTTATGTGAGGGGCCCAAAACTTTAGGCGGGAAATTTTTTTTGCTGCTTTTGTAAAGAGTAAGATAAGATATATAAGATGTATAAATTACATAATAAGAGAAAATTGTAACTTAGTGTTTATATTTAGAATGGCTGAAAGCATCGAGGTAAAACTTCATGGGGTTTTGTTTGTCCCTCATTTCAGATTTTAAAGCAAAGAGACCACATTACTTTTGTCAACTCCTCTTGTGGCAATTTGTCCTTCTCGTCTTTGTTTTTTGGGTCATTCTGTGTATCCAAACATAAAAACATCAACATATAAACAAAATTGAATAGAGAAACAATTATTTGTCAAGAGAAATAATAATTTGTAAATATACCAAGAATACTCAAGAAATAACCTCAACTTTATCCACAAACCCAGGTAATAGAACACAACTTATACGAAATACTTCTAATGAAAGCCTATGCATTGTTTAGCTAGTTGATAAGGATTATAGTGGATACTATACTTTGTAAGATAGAGTCTTGATTAAATAAAAGGATACAACAACCAAAAACAAATAGAGTAGAAGATCAAATAATGTGGTAAAGTAGACAGAGTATATTTTCACAAAATTAATGCTTAAAATGGGACTAAAATAGAAACCTACTTGGAACTGCAATGGGCCCTCATGCTAGACTGCATATTTTGTTTCTTGTAAGAGATAGTTTCATGCATCACGATGCGATTGTAGAGTTTTGGAATGGATTTTCTCCCTGAAACTCCACAACAAACAATGAACATATAGTGCATATAATTCGAGAAAGGTATTAGAACTCTGTAATGAAGTTTTTTACCCCAAAAGAACTTGTTACGAAGTATATCGTTAAAATCTGATAAGTGACTCTCAACTTTAGCTGAGGTTGACACATTATTTATCCTAACAATTACAGCAGGAAGGATATAAGATTATTGGCATACATTACACTCTTTTCTAGCATTAGATGATCCATAAGAAGAGGTAATAATAATTCAAGAATTCACACAATTCATCAAAAATAAATACCACAATGCTCAGGCCTTTGCTTTTCACGGATTAACACAATATTTGTATCATTCATACCTTCCGAGAAGGCTCCATCATTCAAACATCCCAAAAAAAAATTTACAAACCTATAACCCCACAATGTCCCATGCCTTTTGAAAAAAACATGGATTCATACCATCTGGACTTGGTGATTTGTCCTAGAGCATAGAAAAATAAGGCAAGCTTTACCTCATCCGGACTTAAGGGGCGTAGAAGCTCCTCATTTTGCCTCTATCGTGCACGAAGGGAGTAAATCTAAAAACTCAGAAGTACCAGCACCTTCCGAACAAAAAATGGTACAAAAATAGTCTTGCACAATCTGCCTCTTCTCAGTCCCTGCACGCCATAAACCATCCTCATCCCTTAGGTGAGTCTTCTGATTTATCAAAAAAAATTCTTCTCGCTTCTTAATATTGTCGTCACCAAATGTTATGATTCTTGCAAGCATATTGTCTTCTTTTGGATCAAAGAAGAGTATCATATAAGAAAAGTTTAAACCCATTTTTTATTTTTATCTAACCTCTAAATTTTAAAGTTTAAACAGATATCCTTTATATAAATAGATCAAATAAAAACTGATTTTGATCTAATAACCAAACAATTAAGTTTAAACCCATTTTTTATTTCTACCCAACCTCTTTGACAAAAGCATAAAAGAGTTGCTCAATTTGTTAAGGCAAATATTATTTCTGAACATAAAAAAATGTGATTCCAAGGAATGAATAAAATGAAATGCTCTCAAATATAAGTGCAAGAACACCTAGAAGCATTTCTCCCTCAATTAAGTAGCTTTATGTTTGGCATCAACTCTAGTAAGGATACGACTTATCTTTCCTGCAAGCCCAACCTCCTCAACTATTGCAATAATTGGGTCTCCCGCTCAAGTGTAAATAACAAAACATCATGCTTACTTAAACACCACAAAACAGCAAAATTAAATCTGAAAAAAAGACTTCTAATTCATTGGTAGTTTGAATTCCAAATTTAAAATAAAAAATCAAGAGAAGAAGAATACCACTCTATATGGTGGCGTCATCCTCCTATTTACAAATGTTGTTGAAGTGTGATGTTGACCTATGGTAAGAATCCAAAGCTAGAGAAATTATCCCTACATCAAAGAAAAAAGGAAGAGAATGAAAGATCCTGCCATACATATAAAGAAATTTCAATAGGAAAAAGAAAAGAGTGGTACCCTCGTCCTTGAATCCCTGACCTATAATCCCTTTATCATTGTCGTCTCTCTTCTGGCAGTAGGGATATGCGCTAGGCTCAACGGATGATGAAGGCCGGAAGAAAAATCTTGCTACGCGAGGCTGAGAGCGTATGTCTCTGATTTTCAGAGGCGAAAACCTTATTCTAGGCATAGATGAAATTGGTGGCGAGATCGTAGCCCTAAAGATCGTGCAACTGGAGATCGTGCCTGGACGGTTACCAGAACATTTGAGCGGGATGTTTTTCCTGCTGCTATTGTAAATAGGAGGATGTATCACATGCTTGCTTTTTTTTACCATATTGTTAATGCAATCCTGAAGCGGACTTCAATCTACTCTGCCATAAAATACCTACTCCCAAATACCCCGAAAAGTCAAAGCCTCAGGGTAGATATCATGTTAATAATGTTGGAAGATGGTGTTTAGTTCTACAAATGCTATGAGACAATATTGGCTTTGCATCATCAATTTACAGTGGAATATGTTCTCAAATATGACAACAAAAGGTGTTTATAGTAATACATAAACAACTGAATGGTAGTGCACTGTGCAGCTGCAAATACTACACTTATCTAGCTCTTCTATGTAGGCACATCTTTGTCATTTTCAAGCAATTGAAGATACACACAGTTTCAGATGCATATATCACAATAGTGGTGCAAACAACGCCGATCCATATATCACAACATAGTGGTGCAAACAACGCCTGATCACACTTATACATGAGATTGTAAGATAAGTGGTCAATAATAATGCTAATTCTGGGCAAGAGAATGCACTAATTATTGGGTTCTACGCTTGGATAGGGCAGCGGAAATATAAAAATTTTGATGTCCAAACGTAGATCCACCCAGGACCTCTTATGATTATTATAAGTTATTGTTGAGAAGTATACCTTTCTTGGCGAGCAAGCAACGATATGTGTAGGTTGATGGATTGATCCGAGAGCTAGCTACAAAAGTATATGACCTCCAGTTGAGACACACGAACAATGAAGAGTGTTCTAGAGAAAATTATGCTAGTAATTTTTCTCTAGAATATTTCTAAAATATAAAATACTTGGTGTAAAGTATTAAGAGAACAAAACAAATTTTTCTCTCTTAAAAACTTGCTAGGGCCGAAATTCTCTTGGTCTAAAAGGGGTGGGATTATCTCCTATTTATAAGGAGCATAATCCCCATTCATATTCCTAATAGGAAAGTACCTTTTAGAGTTTAGGAAGGAAATCAAATCTCATTCCTATTCTACTTAGGAAATCTCTAATGGCACTTTAAGGAAGCTTCCAATTTATTTTGTCAACTTTATTTATCATATAATTAACACAAAATAAATAATATAACATTTATTATATGTATATCCGAAATATACATAAACGTATATATACATATATATACGGCGATATATATATATATACATATATATACACGCACATATACATATATACATATAATAATGTTTTATTTTGTTCCTTAAATAATATTTGACAAACTTAATTATCATATAATTAAAATGTCCAAATATTAAATATATATAAATATAGATTTCGTGCCTTAATAATAATACTAAAATAATAAACAATTTATTTTTCACATATATATATATATATCCGAATATATATATACTTTATTATTATTAAATATATTTGACAAACTTAATAATCACATAATTAAAATGTCCAAATATAAATATTTATTTATATATGTGTTTGTGTATCTAATCATATTGTCACACAATATAATATACACAATATATAAATAAAGTGCAACTTTACTCCACTTAAATATTCTATACTTTCATATGTTCTATGTGTGTGACCCTATTCTAGGCATCTATAAAATTGGCCATAGTATCGATTAAATACTACAAGTGATAAGCGGTATCTAGCAACACATTATCACCCCCAAATTATAGATTAAAGCTCTTGGAACAATTCCTTCAACGACACATCCTATTTGTATAACCCTTATCCCTTTATCACTAATATCTTGATTTAACACAAGGTATGGGTGTGTCACGTTGTTAAAGTTAAATCGATGGTTTACTGATTCTTCGATTGACTTGTGGGATTCAAATAACATATTTATTTGGGCATGGCCATGCACTTCCCAAGTCACATCAAAGGATAGTTATACTAATGGTCGCATGAGAATAATATTAACACTTTAACTCAAACCCATATATTATTCTCATAGCGGGTCAATCCAGCAACATATCCAATATGGTTGCCTACGTATAGATTAAGATAACACTTTATCTATAGCTATGAGACGCAGCTATCTCATCTCATACGTATTAGTCTTGATATATTATGATGTCCGTATTGTCATAATATTCGACTAAGGATATTTTAGATGTAGCCTCTACCTTTGTAACAGCCTCGTAATTAGAACGTCGTAGTTCTCATCTATGTTACTAGAGCGCCTACTCTATGGACTAAAGTTATGTTTAAATCACACGAGACGACTTAAACAATCTTTAGGGCCTATTGTTCTTGATATAATATAGATATGGAATCATAAGTTGGCCTCTAGGGCTCACTTATATTCAACAATCTCCCACTAGCACTAAGGCCAATTATGGTTTCCATGTATGCCTCATGCACGAAGTGTGACCCTCGTGTATAGGTTTTCCCAAAGCCTAGGTCAATAGATTAAAAGATTGTTTATCCTTTTCTATCTTGCAAATTTTGATACTTTCAGTTTACGACTGTTCGTATAATGTGGTGAGATCTAATGACGTCTTGGTTTCTAGGTGTAACTTCTTTAGCTCCTGTAGTAACCCTATCGTTGTCAGTACAACGACATATTGGTTTCTTATGCTCGGAGCAACGCTATCCTTTTGAGAAGCTATCAAAACCAAAACATCTTCCTCTTTGCTACTTCCAAAGTTGCAAATTTATCTTACTTATATGCGTATAACACCATGTCAATACTTGTCAATATTTGTTTTGTTAATTTCAACCTACCTTATGGTTGTTCTAAACGAGCTATTTTGTGTGTAACATTCACACTTAAGCCATTTTAGAAAACCATACTCTTTTGTTTCTTCTTAAGAATCAAAAGTTAACTTTTACAAAGTTGACTACTACTCTTAGCTCAGCTGGGACATATATAATATATCCCTTTAGAATGAATCAAGTCCATATCTCATGGTACTCTATGGAACGATTTCAATGCGGTCCTTTTACAGAGTGAGTCTCCAAAGGGCTTTACCTTGAGATTCATGCAAGTTTCAAAAACTTCCATGTATGTACTGGTCTTAGATTATTCCTAGTTGTTTGATCCATCTATATGGATTCTTTAGTCTTGAGAACATAACTACTATTTGCATTCATGACTAATAAGTTTTTAATTTATTTTGTCAATGATATGCAACATACTTATCGTGCTCCCACTAGTCTTTAATAAGACTTAGGATCCTAGACATATAAGTGCTATAACTGGTTATAGATAATTCGAAACCCTCCTTTTATCCTTGATAGACTCGTCCATAATAAGTGTTTAAAGTGTCTTCATTCATATGAGACTTACTTTCATTACTTGTTATTTAAGGAAGGAATCGTTTTGGAACAGTTTCCAAGTGCTCTTTCCTTTCAGAGTCTACAATGATCATTTTAGTGCTTAAGGTTCAGTAGTATTTGGCAAGGTTACATAATCCTCTTTATTAGACTAACTATTTTAGTCACGTTATCTAGATAACGTTTGAAGGAACGTGAATTTCATGATCGTATCACTTTCGCCTTTCCAATTATGTAACTTTGGCATTAATATCACTTGATCTTTATTAAGTGTGCTTTATTAATGCTAATGGCAAGTTTAAACTTCAAAAGTTTAAATAGACAGGGTACTTGGCTATAACCTTTATAAAGATATCCTTATATCTCTAAGTGGTTATCACTTCATTCATAATTTTGTGACAAACTTATTAACTGATTAATATTTGTACTTTGAAGCCTTGGTATAGTTGTTGTATTGCGATATGCTTGTGAGGCAGAATATTTGATCATATAAAATACTTCTATAAATGGAACAACAATTTGTCCTTTATTGAAATAACCAATAATACTTAAAACAATAAGTAAACATCAATTCGAAATTGAAAACTGATCAAATACTAAAACTTAAACTAATGCGCCACAAAGCTGCAACCCTTGCATCTTCAAGATCAACACTCCTACTTCTCTTCAGTTCCTGCAACGGTTTGATATACTATAAGTATCGAATACTTTTGAAGAGATTGTAGATTAGTTTAAGTCTTTACAACAATTGTACCTGAAGCAGAAGCTTCACCCTTTTTCTTGTTTGCCAAATACTGCTTGCAATTCCTCTTCCAGTGGCCAACTTCACCACAGTGATGACAAATGGAATCTTTGGCCACTCCACCTTTAGGCTTGAGCTTAGAAGAATTTGACTTTGGTTCGGTGTTACCCTTGCCTTTAGGTCCATTCTTCTTTGCTTTCTTGAACTTCTTCTTGCCTTTTCCTCCTTGAACTAGAAGGACAGAATTCCCATTTCCTTTCGTCAAGCTCTCTTCAGCAGTTTGCAGCATCTTCAAAAGTTCTGGCAGTGGTTAATCGAGTTCATGCATCTCGTAATTAACCACAAACTGCTTGTACAACTCTGGCAACGATTGCAGAATCAGATCAGTTACAAGTTCAGTCCTTAGTTCGAAACCCAATTTCTCAAGAGTTTGGACGTAGCCAATCATCTTGAGAACATGCGGACCAACGGGGTTTCCAACTGACAACTTGCAACTAAAGAGAGCTTTGGAGATTTGAAATCTCTCATGTCTAGCTTGTCCTTGGTAGAGCTGTCTTAGGTGTATGATCATATCGTACGCCTTCATACTCTCATGATGTTTCTGAAGGTCAGAAGTCATCGTAGCCAACATGAGACATGCCACTTGATTGTCATCATCAACATGCTTCTCATAAGTATCCTTGATTGCTCTTGAAGCATTGGCGGCTGGGACAGGTGGGATGGCTCGTTCAAGCACATATTCTTTCTTCTCGAGTCGAAGAACGATAACGAGGTTTCTTTTCCAGTCTAAGAAGTTAGATCCGGTCAACTTATCTTTGTCGAGGATTGAGCGAAGAGTGAGGTTATGGTTGTTATTAGACATCTACATATAATTTGCAAGATAGTTAATATCAAGAATCTAAGTAATTAGCTAGGTCTTTAACTAATAACTCTCCCACTATTTTAACAAATCAACTACCCTCAAGTACGTAACCTGTTGATTCGAGACATCTCCTAAAGAGATGTCTTAGTGGGCCAAGGTCCATATTACATTTAACTATAGTTGTGCTTTGCATCTTGCCCTATAGTTAAACTAATTAGGTAGGTACTTATTTCCAATTGTAATCCAATTACAATCCTTGGTTTGTTAGGTTGTTCTAAATAAAATCCTATATTGGGCCTAGATCCTTATTTCATCTAACTATAGTTGTGCTTTGCATCTTGCCCTATAGTTAAACTGTTTCAGGTAGGAACTAATTCCAATTGTAACATTTTACAACTCTAGGTTAGATGAATTTGATTTTATTTATTAACCTAACCATGTGCCTCTAAGTTATTCATCTTTTTACCTTATTTTAGTTAAGTTCAACCCGGGGCGTACTCAGTATCCATTGTTATGGATTTCGCGTCATACCAATGTAAACCAGGCGTCCCGCTTTGGCGTGTCCGTTGACTGGTCGAAACTGGTATCGATGAGTGAGTCGGCGTCGGAAGGCACAAACTTAATATTACGAGGGATTTTAAACGTGATCTCACCTATGGCATGTGCCGCGCACATACACTAGCGAATATCATACAAACATATATACAAACATGTATAGTGAATAAAACGTGACATAGTTGTGGCCTCCTAAAGAACTAACGATAAAGCCTTCACTTGAGATCTCCATCTCCAGCTTCACCTTCTTTCTTTAAGAATGCTTTAGTCTTCAAGTTCAGCCCTTACTTGTTGGTGTCCTCTTCTTCTTGGCTCCATCATCTTCCTTGCTTCTTCATGGACTTCTTTGTTTAATCGAGAGAAAAGAATCCTTGCTTTGTAAGCAAGGGGTATGAGGTTTAAGAAGAGATTTACAACCAGAATTCAGAGATGAGGCACGACACGCAGACCGTATTTAAAAAACCAATGATTCTAAGCCACAACCACGCACCAAGCATACATTCATACATCACATGCATAAAAACCATACACCGGGCAAGCCGCGCTCGCCCCAGACCTAGTTTATTCTAAGAAAAATAAACTACAAGCCTAAAAGAATTATCAAATAATTTTATTTAACTTTATTTTAAAACTCCAGAATATCCAAAATTTAATTTTGAATTTTCCTGAATTTTAAAATAGTTAATTGCCGTAAATATATGTATTAATTTCGAAATTGGGATTTTAATTCGAAATAAATACTTATACCTTTTGAAAATTAATAAATAAATTCCATAATTTGTATTATGATTTTATAAGTCTGAAAATAAAATTCCCAGAATTTATAAAATATATTTTCGAAATTCTTTATTCAAATACCCAAAATCGGACTTCAATTTTCCAAAAATTAACTCCGAGTTTCCAAAAATTAATATTTTCCAAAAATATTTACTTTGGGTCCGTTTTATTCTGAAAATCAGATTTCCAGAATTAAATAAATTTTATTTTCGGTATTTTGAAATTTGTTTCCAAAAGGAGTTAAATTAATTTCCAAAATTAATTTAGAATATTCCAAATATTCCAAAAATAAATATTTTACAAAAATAAAGTTTTTGACTCATTTACAATCTGAAAACAAAACATTCCAGATTTTACTTAAATTTATTTTCGGTACTTTCTCTTTATTATTTGGTAATCCATAAAACAATTTCTAAAATATTTTTAGGGTACCATAATTGTTCCAAAAATCAGTATTCTCAGAATGATATTATATTATTACCAAATATTAAATTTCCATAATTTAAAATTAATTATTTAATTTTAGGAAATTAAATACTGAATTACCAAAATTGTTTTTCCCAAAACTTAATAATTAAATACTTAAATTACGAATTTAATTCTAAAAACCTTTATCAACTATGAAACTAATATTCTCAAGTTCATAAAATTATAATCCCGAATTTTAATTGTCCTTTTCGGTTTAATCTATATTATTACCGAATAAGATTATTTAAACCGGGAAAAATAGAAAATTAAAACCGAAAATTTATTTTAATTTTCCAGAGTACTTAAAATCATATTTTAACATTCCATAAGTAATAAAAGTATTTTTCATAATTTATTTTGTATTTATATTGTAATTAATCAAATTAACTACAAATGAAACAATACTTTATAAATTAGGAAATCAATTCCGAAAATTAATTTTAAATATCCAGAGCTCTTGAAATCATATTTCAAAGTCTCAGATTTAATAAAATTTAATTTTCGAATTTTTGAAATATTTTAATTGGTTAAAACAGTTTTTAACCGATTAACCCGAAAATAAAAAGAAATCTAAAATTTAATTCAAAAATCATATTTTCGAATTTTATAAAGTCCAGAATCATATTTTGGCACTTTCTTGAATTTTGGATAATTTTTAGAAAATATATACACATATATTTTATTTTATCAATTATCAAAAACCCTAACGGCAATTAGATCTACAAAACTTATAATTCTCATAAGTCGGTTCTGATACCACTGTTGGGTTCTACGCTTGGATAGGGCAGCGGAAATATAAAAATTTTGATGTCCAAACGTAGATCCACCCAGGACCTCTTATGATTATTATAAGTTATTGTTGAGAAGTATACCTTTCTTGGCGAGCAAGCAACGATATTTGTAGGTTGATGGATTGATCCAAGAGCTAGCCACAAAAGTATATGACCTCCAATTGAGACACACGAACAAGTGTTCTAGAGAAAATTATGCTAGTAATTTTTCTCTAGAATATTTCTAAAATATAAAATACTTGGTATAAAGTATTAAGAGAACAAAACAAATTTTTCTCTCTTAAAAACTTGCTAGGGATGAAATTCTCTTGGTCTAAAAGGGGTGGGATTATCTCCTATTTATAAGGAGCATAATCCCCATTCATATTCCTAATAGGAAAGTACCTTTTAGAGTTTAGGAAGGAAATCAAATCTCATTCCTATTCTACTTAGGAAATTTCTAATGGCACTTTAAGAAAGCTTCGAATTTATTTTGTCAACTTTAATTATTATATAATTAACACAAAATAAATAATATAACATTTATTTTATTTATATCCGAAATATACATAAACGTATATATACATATATATACGGCGATATATATATATATATATATATATATATATATATATATATATATATATATATATATATATATATATATATATATATATATATATATATATATATATATATATATATATATATATATATATATATATATATATATATATATATATATATATACACATATATATACACACGCATATACATATATACATATAATAATGTTATAATTTGTTCCTTAAATAATATTTGACAAACTTAATTATCATATAATTAAAATGTCCAAATATTAAATATATATAAATATATATTTCGTGCCTTAATAATAATACTAAAATAATAAACAATTTATTTTTCACATATATATATATATCTGGATATATATATACTTTATTATTATTAAATATATTTGACAAACTTAATAATCACATAATTAAAATGTCCAAATATAAATATTTATTTATATATGTGTTTGTGTATCTAATCATATTGTCACACAATATAATATACACAATATATAAATAAAGTGCAACTTTACTCCACTTAAATATTCTATACTTTCATATGTTCTATGTGTGTGACCCTATTCTAGGCATCTATAAAATTGGCCATAGTATCGATTAAATACTACAAGTGATAAGCGGTATCTAGCAACACATTATCACCCCCAAATTATAGATTAAAGCTCTTGGAACAATTCCTTCAACGACACATCCTATTTGTATAACCCTTATCCCTTTATCACTAATATCTTGATTTAACACAAGGTATGGGTGTGTCACGTTGTTAAAGTTAGATCGATGGTTTACTGATTCTTCGATTGACTTGTGGGATTCAAATAACATATTTATTTGGGCATGGCCATGCACTTCCCAAGTCACATCAAAGGATAGTTATACTAATGGTCGCATGAGAATAATATTAACACTTTAACTCAAACCCATATATTATTCTCATAGCGGGTCAATCCAGCAACATACCCAATATGGTTGCCTACGTATAGATTAAGATAACACTTTATCTATAGCTATGAGACGCAGCTATCTCATCAAATACGTTTTAGTCTTGATATATTATGTTGTCCGTATTGTCATAATATTCGACTAAGAATATTTTCGATGTAGCCTCTATCTTTGTAACAGCCTCATAATTAGAACGTCGTAGTTCTCATCTATGTTACTAGAGCGCCTACTCTATGGACTAAAGCTATGTTTAAATCACACGAGACGACTTAAACAATCTTTAGGGCCTATTGTTCTTGATATAATATAGATATGGAATCATAAGTTGGCCTCTAGGGCTCACTTTTAGTTGGCAAATTTTGAGGGCTGCGGAACCACTTCCATAATTTCTAGTTCAAATAGCACCACTACTCCCGTGCTTTGAAAAAAGGTGCTTATAATCTCATGTTTCCAAAATTTATTTTGAAAGTATTAGTGGGTTTAAAATGTTATGTTCATACCCCATCTATTCATTCCCAGTCATTTTTCGCATAAAGGGGTATTTTGTGTCTATTTTTCAAATCATAGAGGCACTGGTGGTCATTTCCTATTTTTTGTTTGTTTTTTGTTCTTTCTCATTTTTTTTCTATATTTGTTTTTTTATTAATCAAGTGTTTTTAAATTTCTTTTTAATTTTTTATATATGTTCTTAAAATTTATAATTGTTTTTGTTTCAAAAAATAATAATTAACATATACTCCATCTATATGTTTGAAATTAACAACTTTTTTTATTTTCCAAAATAAAAGAAGTAAATTTTTTTAGAACTTCAAGAAATAATAAATAAAATAAAATAAAAAATAAAAAAGAATATCCTTTTTGGACATGCCAATTCTAAGGACTTTTTAGGGGTTCTGAAAATTCCTTTTTATATAAGATTCTTTTTTTCATGTTTCAACTTTTTTCATTTCTTTTTTTTATATTTTTTTATTCTGGATTCTTTTTTTAACTTACCAAAAAATATTCTAGAAAATAAAAGTGAAAATATTTAATTTAAGCTAGATAGAGTATATGTTAGTTTTTTATTTTTATTTCAAACACAAAGAATTTTGATTTTTTTAAAACATTTTAAAAAGTTTAAAAGAGATTTAAAATATTTTTCTAGGAAAAGGAAACAAATAGATAAAAAATGAGATAAAAAAGGGGGGGGGGGGGAATATTAAAAGAAAAAATAAGAAATGAGCACAAGTGCCCCCCTATAGTTTAGAAAATAGGCATCAATGCCTACTCTTCGTCGGAAAATGATCGGAGGGTGTGTGGGTGCAATGTTTTTAAACCATTGGGACTTTAAAAATAAGTTTAGAAAAAAGAGGAGATATTGGTGCCAATTTTTTAAAATCGTTGGGGGACTAGAGTTATTTGGCCTAATTTCTTACTACTCGCATTACTACATTCCCCCTAATTGAATCTAAATTTAAGTTATTTGTTTATTATTCACAAAGTAAAACTTTAAACACATTCTTTACCAATTTCCAATGCCCATTAGAGAAGTTAATATAGTCTTTATCACCTGTAATTTTGTAAAACTTTTGATTTCATTTTTAACTATATAAATTTTGTTTGGCACAAGGACCATAATAAAAGTAAAAAGCATGGGAATGACCAAATTATGAGTGCTATTCTAACTCCTTCCGCCAGCGTGCCCATTTTCATTGTAATGTCAACCTTTCCCTTTGATTATTTTTCAATAAAACATTTGCGTGATTATTGCCTGATCTTTACCACCTAATTTCTGATTTTACAACACGGCAAATCCGGTGATTCTACAGCCTAAGAAGGGAATTTCATCGCTACCATAAATAATTCAAACCCTAGCTAAAAAATCAACAAACAATGAGTAAAAGCATGTGGTAATGACAAAGATTGTGTGCTTGAAGTGGTGATTGTTCCAAGGATTCAAGACAAGCAAACAAGTACTCAAGAGTTCAAGACCGAAGACCCAAAGTCGTAGGTCATAGGTAGAACTTAATGTAAGAGCATCGTTTAAATGATCGTGGCTTTTGGCACAAGTTAAGTTACTTTTCATATGCATAAAATCATGGTCTTCATACTTGCATTTTCCCCAATCAAAACCATAACCTTCAGTTATCGGCGTTGCTTATCAGCGTTCAACATTCATTTATCAACGTTGATTTTTGGCTTTCATTTCAACCAAGTGGTTTTCATGATTTTATCTGGGGTTTTCCCTCCTATTCATATTTAAATGTTTTTCAAAGCTTTAGGTTTCAAAAACTAATCTTGGTTTATGGTCATTGGCTTAAAACTGTGGAAATCATCCTTCACTTGGCGATCCATGGTTTTACTTTAAATGTTTGATTTTTAACATTTATTGCTTGTTTTTTAATGTATATATCATAAATAAGTGTTTCCAAAATTTGGTTTTTGATTTGGGAAACTTTGGTTTTTAACTTCGATTTTTGGCCTTGGTTTTCAACTTGATTTTCAAAAATCACACCAAACTAACCCAACATCGAATATGGGTTGAAATATTTGATATTTTGATGTCCGAACTTGGTTTGGCAGTAAGTTTTTGAACAATAATGTTCAATGGTTAACATCGATGTTTTCTTCTGACTGTTGGGGGTCTTTAAGACAAAATATTTTCATTTTTGAAAGTCAACAACCCAAATATCGATGTTTCCTTTAAAACATCGATGACCGTTAGCCATTTCAAAAGGAAATCAAACTCAGAGCAGCGATGTTTACCTTAGAACATCGATGTTCAAAGCATTTTTCTGTAGACCACTTTTTAAATTCCACAAATCTTTGACTAATCTTATTTGGATTGATTAGCTACGGTCATCAATCTTTAACCCCTATAAATAGAGGCCTTTGGCATTGTTTTTAATTGAAGAACACCTCCCATTCTTTATCATACATTCATATCGTTTATGCCTCAAATTTAAAGCTTTTGTTGAGCCATTTGAAGGATAACTTTGTGTTGTTCATAGAGCTTTCATTGTATCTCTTTATGTACTCTTTCTAAAGTATTCTTTGTATAAGAGAAAGGTTTGAGAAGACCAATTCTTCTCATTGAGCATTTGGTTTGCTAAGAACCCGTAATTTTAGTGGTTGAAGTCTTGGATGATGAGGATTTCGAGTGATTGAAGTCTTGTAGAGGATACATCTACGAGTTGTTAACGTCTTGGAGTGAGGTATATCTGAGCAAGTGGTGTTGAAGCTCGTGTAACTCGAGTTCTCAGGTTGTATTGGTTTGTTAAGAACCTTTAAGCTAAACAGAGTTAGGACTTTCGAGAGTGTTTCTCGAGAACTGGATTAGCCACAAGTTGTGGTGAACCATTATAAATACAGTGTGTTCTTTCCTTACGCTCTTTACTTTACTTTCACTTCGTGTTTCTTTCCTGCATTTTTGCTCAAATGCTTTGAGCTAGACCTGGCAAAACAGAATCGGAACCGATTACCCAAACCGAAATATCTGAAACCGAAACCGAAATGACCCGAAAAATGAAGATCCGATCTATAACTGAAAACCCGAAATGATCCGAATCGAAACGAAACCGAACTAAATTATTCATATCCGATTTAAATCCGAAACCGATTAGATCCGAAACCGATAATATCCGAACCGATTAAACCCGAAACCGATTAGATCCGAATCTGATAATACCCGAAACCGATAAAACCCAAAACCGATTAGATCTGAAACCGAATACATCCGAAACCGGTTAGAACCTACATCGATAAATTTGGAACTATGTTTTCCTTTCAATAAGCATATTATATTTTTATTTTTATTTTACCATTTGAACTAATTACATTACTTGCTCATTCCCTCATAAAATGGATTATCTTCTTGAAAAAAGTAGAAAATTTCATGCTTTAAATTTATTATATGTAGAAATTAAAGATAAGTTATACATATAAATGATAACGCACAAACAAATAAAATTTCCGTAATTTTTAAATAGTGAAGTGTGATATTTTATTTGAGACAAAAGAATTATATGATGAATTGTATGGAATAACTAGATTTTATCTTGATTTCATCCCATTATAATAAATTTTATTGATTTGAGAGTTAATTTGATTAGTTTCAAACCAATTCACTCAATATTAGTCAATAAAATTAGATGCTAGTGTTAGCATTTTGAAAAGATTCTCTAGCGACAACATTTAGTGTTATCAGTTTCAAATTTGATCTACACCATTACATTTAAGTGTAAAATTAATTATATTTGACTCTATTAAATTTAATTTAAACTATTTTCAACAAAATACACTCAATAATTTATAAATTTTGCACTCAATTGAATAAAATTCACTTAATTTCACCCAATTTTACTCAATTTTTTACCAAAGTATATTCAAATGGAATATAACACTATTTGAATTTATCTCTTATCTTTTCATTTATAAACATAAGTATATTAGTAGTTGTGAGAAAAGTTTGTTATTGCAAAACTAAATTTTAAAATCAATTTAATTATATTAAATTTATATCATAATTAAATATATATCTTTTCACAATTTATAGTCCAAATTTGTAAAATATGACTAAAAAGTCAAAAAGGGAAGATTATTTAGGTTAGAGATAATATAATTAGAAAAATATATAAAATAATACGGAGTATGAGGTATTGAATTGATGATAGATAAATGTGATAAAACATAAAAAGAAATATGGATAGTTAAATTTCAATTAGAAAATAATATATATCCAAAATATATTTGATTCAAAACCGAAATATATCCGACTCAAATTGTATCCGAACCGAAATCTATCCGAACCGATTTATAACCGAACCGTATCTGAACCGATTCGAAACCGAACCGAACTGAAAAATGTATCGAACCGAATCAAATCCGAACCGAAATTTAACCGATCCGATCCGAACCGATTATAACATATAATCGAAAGATATCCTAACCGAAAAAATCCAACCCAAAACCGATCCAGTTGATCCGATTGCCACCTCTACTTTGAGCCTTTATTCAAACACAAACTACATCAAAAGTTCTACAAAACAATAGTTGACATTATTATATTATTTCTTCAAATAGGTAGCAAAAACAGGTAAAAGAATGTGGTTGAAGTTTGACCTATGAATAGTAAACAGACAACTTAAGTGGGAAAGTATAACTGTTCTAGTTTTACATTTTTGAGATACACTAAGATACTGTTTGTAAAACTCACACAAGGATTATAACCACTTGACCAAAGCATGTTCGGCTTAGTTATATACATGATCCTGTTAAGCAGCTCTCTAGCATTGCAGCTGCAGACCAGTTAGTACTGTCAATCAATACACTGTTTCCTGTCACATCTTTCTGTTCAGCAAGTATATATATGATGCGATATCATCACAGCATCAGCAAAATGTTATGGCATAGTGTACACGATCACTTGTTGTTGGATCTTAGTTATTTTCTGCACCGGCAGTTTGGTATATAACTTAATTCACAAATTGTACAGTCATTGTGTATGCAATGTCTGCTATCCCAAATTATGAAATTCCTTCTCAAGTGAACTAAACATGATCAGCACACGCTTTTTCAGATTGGATTCAATGTTTTTTCGGATCCTCTTCTGATGCTTAGCATATTTCAACCACATCATTCCAAACTGAATGGTAACACTGCATCCTACTGATCTTGGGGGTGCAGCCTCGACTAGATATTTCAGATGAAGCTGGAAAAATGATAGAGTGCTTAGAAGCCTATTAATTAAGAATGTATTTGAATTAGAAACTGGGGCAATCAGGGCGGGATGGGATACACGTACTGTAAAAAAGTCTCCAAGAGGAACCCCATGAAGTGTCATCACCTCTTCTACAATCCACCCATTTCTCTCAGGAAGGTAAAGTTTCTGCTGCGTGCTAGTGACCTCACCTCCATAATGTGATATGCATTTATCAAATTTGTAATATAGGTGCCTTTGATAAACATCAGGCTTTTCAGATTCCCAACTGCCAGGAGAATAATTAAGACATCCAATTCTCTCCATTATCCTGTGGTCAAGCTCATTCCCACTGAATAATTCCATGAAAAACTCAGTCTGCACATGAATAAGAGAGGAAAACAAGAAGACACGGTTATTGGCGAGAAAGGTATTATGGACGCATCTGGTTCATACATTTTGTGTTATCATTTATCGAAATTCTTTCCGAGAGAAACATTGGCATTGTCAGGATGTAGAGAAAAAAAATTGTGGCTTCTAGAATTCTGATACCAAAGAGCAGAGTAGATGCAATGATAAGATTGAGATGCCCACCCCATACGTATACAGAATCAAGTAAAAAAATGTGATGCATGCCTCAAAGTACAATGGGACAAAACACAAAGTCTCAGATACACTCACAGGAACTGATAGTGAAGAAGAATAAAAAGTCGACATGCTCAAATCCTCATCCCACAAGAATGATCTACTATCTTCACTTTGTAGGTTTTTTCCTTCATTTTCTTCATTTACAACTTGTATGTTTTTTGCTATAGACTCCTCTTCGGTCATTTCTAGTGTCTCTGCCTCTGATTCTTCAACTATTTGTACTTTCTGCTCAGGGCTCAATGCTCTTGCTTTCCACAATGCCTTAATTGTCCTACAAACAGTCAAAATGATATTATTCAAAAGCTAGCTAAAGCCATATACATCCAATAAATATTTGTCTTATTTTCAGATGGTTCATATGTGTAGCTGAAGTCACAAGCATTTAATAGATATTACGCTTACTTCTAGCATACAGCTTCAAATGTGCAGATGAAGTCATTAGTATTCAATAAATATTTCTCCTATTTCCAATATAAAGGTGCAAATATGTAAGATCATATGTATATGATGACTTAAAGGGATGAAAGTAACCTTCACTAACAGGCACATTGCGCTAAGTAAATCACAAATGATGAAATGCAGCAAAGACAGTTTTACCCTTAATATCACAAAGAGATGTTTCTATTATCATAGAGAAAAGAAATGCAAGAACTCTTAGGTGATAGCCCAGAAACAAAAGAAAACCTGTGAGCAATCAGCAAAGTATCAGAATTCTAGAAGCCAGACATAATTTTGTGGGAATTATGGCATCATTCAAGACAAAAGGAACCCATCCATATGAGGATGACAAAATGAAATGATGGAATAAGAAACTAAATGTTTAAGACCCCATGATTTTGAGGCAAACACCAGATCTAAGAGGATTCCAATAAATGTTGAAAAGAGAAAGCACCAAATGGCATAACAATAAAACCTTCTTTTGGAAGGGTCAAAGACACTGAGGTGAGAAACATATCAACATAACCGACTATGTGTCAAAGCATAAAATGAATACTCAGACAATTATCAATAATTCTTCAAAATATTCATCAAACATGCAACCATCCTTTTATTTTTAACAGCAATGGAAAATGCTATCATCATTAATGTGTTCTTATACTGCTGGTAATAATAATAATAATAATATTCTGCAAACACTGAGAACTTGGAGCGAGTCTTTTGGTACTACCATGTATGAGTATTTGGATAATCCATGTATATGTGTTTCGGTACTACCCATGGGTTGGGAGTCCTTTGACATACTCTAGGTGCATATATGTGATGTGTGTCATTGGTGAAGTGGGGATGCAGCAAGAAATAGTATATAACCACAATGGTAGCAGCAGCAACAACAACAACTACAACAAAATAACAACAAACCAAGTATAATCCCAACTCCATTGGGGTCTGAGGGTTCAAGATGTACACAAACTTAGCCCATTAAAAAGGGCGAAACATAAATGAAATAAAGTAGTGTTATTCAACACTATATTACCTATGTGCCACATTGAAAGACACAAACGATTGATAATAGAATTTTAGCCTGCCATCTTCATCCTGAGTTTTAGCACCATGTCTTGCATCAAATCCTTTGTGAGGCTTTAGTGTCATGATAACAATAGGGCTGCCCATTGATGACAACGTTGGGGGGGTGACTTGAATGTCTTCTATGTCTTCCCAAAGATAGAAAAATTTTGTCTTGTGTCCAAAGAGATCAGCATGAAATCCAACTATCCTTGGTGACAAAAATAGACGGCCCTGTTCAATAACACTAACTATTCAGGGAGATAGTTGACAATCAACAAAAAGATGTAATAAAATAGTGAATCAGAAAGTAGTTCAAATGGTGTCAAGCGTCTAAGAAGGGTGGTCCTATTTACTAAAACCTTTCATAAATACATCAACCTTTTTAAACATGCTAAATGCAACATCCTCTATTCTCTAAATTATCCTTCCCCAAACTAAATCTTCAACCTCCCTCCCAAACAATAGCCCAATGCCAGTACCCAAGCTCATGCGCAATGAACTCTCAAGTCAATAATCAATAATTTTATTACTATGCCCAGAGGAAGCGGAACTGAGAGGGTTTTGCGGTCTAAACCTTACAAAAGTTGTTGATACGGATGCATCAAAATGCATAATGTTTCCATCAATTAAGCCATTAAGGATTACGAACCAGAAGGAATAACATGCTGACCAAAGAGTCAGGTAAGGTTATACTCATGAAGGCAACAATCAATGTACATTACGAGCTACTCAATAATAAATTTCCCCATTCTTGGAAAGGAAATGTGGAAAATGTCTGGGTGAGTGTGTGTCTATGTGGGTGTCTGTGGGTGCGTGTGAGCAGACGTAAGGAATTGAAGTTTAAATTGGAGAAGGGTAATTTACTATGTTTAAACGAATAGAAGTAGAGGAGAATGAATGTGGGACAAAATTTGAGAAAGAAAAACTTTCCCTTATTTGGTAGCAGAGGAGTTAGGAAGGAAATGAAAAAATATAGGGCTCCCACTTTTTGCTTCTCTCCATCCATGAGAATAAAGTAGAACCTTGGTTTTTGTTTTCCATTTTCCACTCTGTATGGTATTTTATTAAAATACGGAGTAAAATATAATGGTCTCTTTGTCTTTTCATAAATTACTTTCACTTCACTCCTTTCACATCTCTCTTATTTCTCTTATAATAATTACCAAACAATAATAAAATCCACTCTTTCTATAATCTTTGTATCTTTTTTAACTCTTATCTCGTTTTCTTTCTTCAAATTTTCTTGCTTAGACAAAGCATTGGTGTATGTGGGGAGGGCGTATCTATTAAGAAGGTTATATATAAAAAGATGATATAGGTGATTAATAAAAATGGTGAGGACAAAGAGCATCACCCTTCCAAAAAAAGATGAACCCTCTTTAAGGACTTAGTTGTCCACCTTTCCTTTTTGAGGTGTGTTAAAATTATGGTGGGCCAAAAACAATGAATGGAGTGTCGGGTAAAATTAACCACTTCGCACTTGCATATAAAGTTGGGATCCACTATAAACCCAAAAGCTTATACTAATGAGTAGAGTAGAGGCTTCACCCTTCGTTATATGCTAGTGATACTTCTCTTTATTTTCCAATGTGGGAACCTCTAACACGCCCCCTCAAGTGGTAACTAGCATAAAGCCATAAACTAGTTAACACTTGGACAAACGAGTCTAGCATCTCAATCTGTTTATAGCTAGCCATCTCTTATACCCAAGCCAAGCCAAGTAGCCAAATTATCCCCAACAACGGATGGGTAGCTCATATCACTACACATACGTCCAAACAACCAGGAAAAATCAACCTGAACGAGACCTCCTCCAATACCATGTTAAAATTTTGGTGGGCCAAGAACAATGGACAGATTGTTGGATAAAATTAAATAAAATTAATTAACCACTTGCATATAAAGTTGGGATCCACTTTTAACCCAAAAGCTTAAGCTGATGGGTAGGGACTTCACCCTTCTTTATATGCTAGTGATACTTCTCTTTATTTTCCAATGTGGGAACCTCTAACAAGGTGTGTGGAATTAGTTGTGCACTTAAAGTATTTTGTAAAAAAATGTTTTGTTAGTTGTAAAAAATTCTCTCATAAGGAATATATGCATTGTTCCTACATCTTCGTTATGAAATTTAGAATTATAACGGTAAAAATGTCACCCATTTTTTATGATAAAAAGGTCACCAACTTTTTATGGTCAGAATATGAAAATTATACTCAACCATCCTTAAAAGTGTACAATAATAGGACGATGATTTGTGAGTTGTAACTGACGGAGTAGACACTAGGCATGTCACCTCAAATAGCCAATGCCAATCATATTTTGAACTTCCAAGTTCCAAAGTAGACTAGCATAATATGGCATAATTTTTATTTTTTTAAAATCACCAATAGTGTGAGAAAAGGAGAATGTTGTACAACCTGAAGGGGCATTCTTCGTTTTAAGTGACAAGTGAAATCGTTAATCAGAAACTCTTCAGGTGGAAGTCCAAAGTGCTTTTGGAAAGCTGAATTTGTTTGAGGGGACCTTAATCTGATCTACAAGGCAATTGATAAGAAAATAATTAAGTCAAAGAAATGAAACTGGCAAAGAGAATCATTTGAGAAGAAAATTGTGATTGGATGGTACCTTTTTCCCAACTTCTTTCTCCATTTTAGACAAATAATCTACCGCAAGGTTGTTACCTTTTGTATTATTCAAGAAAATTCTTAAATGCAACTTAGATTGACAAGCTTGAGCGAACTTCCCTTGAAGAGGCACTAAGATATCAGATAAATCAGATATTTTAGTTTTTAAAAAATTAATTTCAGCATGTCCAAGAGTGGTAGCTTCATCAAAAGGACCATCAAAATCAAAAACTTCCACAACCAGTAGAGATGGCGGCTCATCCATTGCATCAAACTCAAAAATTTCTGTATGCAAGGAATTTTAAAATAGAAGAAATTTTAGTAAAATCCAGTATATGAACGTACAGAAATAATGTGCATTGAAACAAAAACTGTAATACCATTCCACTTGGGATCTAAATTTTGGAACTTAATCGAGCTGGTTTTTGTTTTTCCATTGCAACTGAAAACCACATATGGATCAGAGAACCCGCTTGAGTCAACAGCTGCAAAACTGTGCCCTTCAAGCAACACAACGGTTAGCAACCAGCCATCTCCATGTGCTTTAATTCCATGGTCACCACCTTTGGCTAATAGATTCAAAGGAAATGAAACATATTATATGATACAACAAATGGGAACTGAGAAAGACTGATGATAACTTTTTAAGAGGATGATTAGAGAGAAATAGAAATGTGATAGTCAAACAATGTACTACCTCCACTCCAGTTTATTTGTCCAGATTGACTTTTTGCAGTCAAACTCAAACTTTGATCATCAACAAAATACAAATTAAATTGTATATTATTACAAGAAAAATTTCATTAGATTATCTTGAAAACTCCTTCAAAAAGACTATTTCACTGTTTAAATAAAGTAGTTTTGTGTAATTGATGATCAGTGTTCGTCGAATTTGACTGAAAATAATCAAACACGACAATTACACTAGAATATAGGGAGTAGAAAGTAAGGGACTATAGTAATAATGTCTAAGACACACACACACATTCAGTATTCTAGCTTTTATTCATACCGTTCTGTCCTCTTGCCTGCATAAAGCGCGACATTAACTCTAGGACCCTTTTGCCTTGCAGTACTAATACTCCACACACAATCAATTCACCAATAGAATCAGGCAAGTCAAGCCCAACAAACTCAAGCCCTTGAATAGTGCTAGGCATCGCGAGGAAGATGTGCAAAGCCACATACAACCCTATGATAAATGTTGATATTACAGTAAAATTAGCAAAGTACTTAACAACAAGTCTCCAATCTGACTGTGGCTCCACTTGAAGGGTTGCCAAAACCTGGTCTTTCTCGGAAGAAAACTCTTTTTCATCTACTGGCTTTACATTTTGAGATAATAAACTTGCATATTGCTCAAAGCTGTCTTTTATACCTTGCCTTGCTCCATTTTCTATCATAGATTTCATCATAGTGCTCTGCAAAAAGTTTATCTGCCACGATACTACAAGTCTTGATGTCTTTTCTCCTGAAGCCAGATCTGGGCCGGCAGTGATGCAGTAAAGTGTTTCAATTTTAAATGTGTTACCATATGGAGCATCTGGAGTGCTTACAGTGACAGATACTGCATATGTCTTCCCATCGGCCTTCAGATAAGTTTGTTCCTCTGTTGCTTTCAAAGCCTTGACCAATCTACTTGCAGCCTTTGTCATACTGACTACTCTTTTTAAATTTGAATCGTCACCTTCAAACTTCCATGGTCCTGCTTTCAATTCAGTGGATCCTTGAGAATCGGTGAGAGATTTAAGAAAGTTCAAGTCAGGTGCAAAGAGCAATGAATTCAGTTCAGGGGGGGCAATGGCATACAACTGATCCAGGACTACTCCTGGTAAATTCCGAGGAACTTCACTGCCTTCTTGTTTCATCTCCATGTTCCTCATCATTTCTTCAAAACTGATGGATGAAGACTGCTCCTCTTGTGCATCATCATTATCTTCTGTACTAACGCTGTCAGACAATTCAGTTGTATCTGTAAATTTTGCATAGGATGTGGTTGGGCCATCAGTATTCTTGTTAAAAATCTGATAAAACCGACCAGCAAGGGTTTGTGTATGTGACTTTTCTTCCTTTGAAGAGACAGCCTCCTCTGACTTTATTGGTGAAGGCGATATCGTATTGGCATTGGAGGACCTCGATGGAGACCTACTTTGCACATCATCAAGCCCTTTTGGTAATGGAGCAGGATTGCGACTAGATAGCAAGTCTGTCGGCAAGTTGTTTGGCGAGAAACATAGAGTGAGAAGAATTTGACCTGTTGGAATATGATAGCAGAATTTGACTCAACATTGGCAGCTCAAGAACAACTTCTACATTTTCTGTTAGTTTTCCCTTAATAGATTAAATTGCATGGTGTACCAATGATAAAGCTGGCTAGGGGGTCAAAGATTTTCAAGTAGCATTGCTACCAAAAACACACAATGGAGTAAAATGTAAACATTAAATTCTGAACATAGACTGTAATATCTATTTGGCTAAAGGGGTTGGATTGTGCATAATTCTAAATCCTTACATCAGATCATAACTTACCACACCATAAGAAATAACTTACCACAATCCATATTCTTAGCCTTTTTAGCCTTTGGCCTTAACTCGTACCAAGAAGTGCCAAGTGACTTGCGCGGGGCTTCAAAAATACTAGAAACAGGGACTTTGAGTTGACCAACAAAATCATCATTGAAGTACTTGTCTTCATCCAGTACAGAGATAACAAGTTCATCCCCGAAATCATCAACCCGAAAGATGAACTCCTCACACCAAGAGGGATTCAAACATTTCTTCACCACTTTAGTCTTGTACCTCTGCTTTCCAACCTGCAACTTCACATAGGGATCGCTGAACCCGTTTGGATCCATTGCAGGTATATTTCGAGCTTCAATCACTCGCACAATAAGTTTCATTATCAACAGATTAACCCAATCTTGTTAGCTTCCACAAACCAAAACGTTGAACCAAGATCAAACCCGTTTCTCTTTTTCATTTTCTAAAAAACTTTATAAGGTTTCCCTAACTGAAGAAATCTAACAATGAATATGGATATCAAAGTTTGACTTTTTTTCAAAGACGTTTGACTTGTAAACATAGATTTCTAATCCAAAGTTTAGTTTCGTTTTGATAAGTTTTGAAAATATAATATGATATAAATTTTGAAATCAAGGAGAAATAATAAGCGTTTGATGTATGAAATAAAATTGTTTGAAGAAATTTAAAATCATTATTAAATTAGTAATTGTCTGGGATTGTCGGCAACGGGGATGGTTTGCGATGACAGGGTTAGCTTAGCTGGTGGCGCGAGATTATCGATGATTAAGGCAGATATCAAATTTCCACATTGATATCTCCTAAATCGGGAGATATCAAAACTCATACTTCGCATATCCTACACTCACCACACGGGTCCTTAGTTTTTGCAATCAGAGACTCCTCTGCTCCATAAATGTTCAATAGAATCACTTCAAATATGAGTAAAACATACTTCGCAGCATTTATCCTCAAAATAGGAGTTTATACTACATAGTGGCGTTCCACTGAATTTTTTGGTTCTATATATTGATATTATTGACATTGTACTACTATTTTAGGAGTTGGTTCTATATATTGATATTATTGGCATTGTACTACTATTATAGAAATAAAAAACACGAGCTTTAATATTAATATTTTCTCTATATTTTACTTTTAATTTAGTCATTTTCCTGAAAACTTACACTCGCAAATATATGGATTTCCTCACCAATTTATCTATTGAATTTAAAGTGCTAAATAGAACACAATTTGATGAGAACTAGCTTTTATTATATTAGTAAAATATAACTCAAAACCTAATACAATAACTCTCATATAAATCTCATATGACTCTCATATCAAAACCCAAGGCTTGGCTAGCTATGATATATATAGTGTTAACCCAACTTGGTCAACAAGTAATCTAAATAATCCTAAGATCCAAATTTCTATTCCTACTTAAACTAGAATATCTCAGGCAACCCTAATCCTACTTGATAATTAGCCAACACTATATACACTCAATTTCTTTTCCACATCATTAAAATTAATGTGTAAATGTTTTTTCGAGTAGTTCCCCACAGGTGATGACTTTTTTTCTCACAAGCCCTCCCTCATACTTTTTCCTGTTGTTCGGATGGGGTGAGAAAAGGAGATAAAAGAAAATGATAGGAAAGAGAAGGGAGAAAGACAAAAAGTAGGACTAAAACATTGAAAATATACCAAGATAAGACTTCCATAATTTTATTTTCGAAATAAGACTTACATTACTAAACATGGTCATGTACATTACCAAAAAGTATAGTAATGTGCACATGTACAGTGCCACATTACCACAGTGCAAAGTCTTATTTCAGGAAAAAAACATGAAAGTCCTATTTTGGTACTTTTCTCTATGTTTTAGTCTTATTTATGATGATTTCTAGAAAGAAAATAGTGAGAAAATGATAGGAAAAAAAGTCAATGTTTAGATTGTTAAAGATATTACAGCGGGAAAATAATAATAATAATAATAATCCAAACTTATTAAATGTTCGGATTTTACAATGAAATAAAATAAAGAAATTGAAGTCTTCGGGAAGCTCAAACGGATTGAAACAGAAGCAGGAACACGAACGGAAAGGTGCCTTGATCGGCGAGTAGAGACGTCGGACGAAGGGCAGGGTGTCGCCGGAGCAGTTTCTCGGACAGAGGTAAGGAAAGCGAAGTCGCCGGAGCTTTCCTTAAAGTAGTATTACCCGCCTCCTGCACTGGCAAACGTGGGGCTTTGTACTTGTCAATGGAGCCGTTAGGCTTCATTTTCCTCCGAAAGACCCATTTAGAACCTAATGGCTTACACCCTGGAGGGAGATCAACCAATTCCCACGTGTGCTTCTGAAGAATAGAATCAACTTCACTTTTTATGGCTTCTCGCCACTAAGGTCCCTCAGTTGAGGTTACGACCTCATGATAGGTTCGTGGTTCCTTTTCTACCAAACAGGTTAAAATATCGGGTTCATTTTCCATTAAGAATTGACAAAGTTACTTTGTGAAATTCTATCAGATATGTTATGAAGTCAGAACCAAACGTCTTTTCAGTTCGTATTCTTTTACTTCGTCTCAATTCAGTTTCATGTTTAACTTCATCATTGTCACCAAAATTCAACTGATTTGGATCATCATTATCCATCATCTCAGTATGAGAACATTTGGATGAACTAGCTGTAACGCCCTACAAACCGGCCTAGTTTTAAATAAATAAATATTATTTATTTATTGAGACTCATTATTTTAAATTAATAAGTATTGAGATTTCGATCTCTTTAAATGGCTTTCCAAAGCTAATGTATTTTAATATAAAAAGATGTTTTAATAACGGACCTCTCAACATTAATTAAATAAATTAATTAATGATTGGGGTGGACCCGGAAGTTTGAAAATAAAAGTTCTTAGGAAAATTATTTGAACATGTCATTAAATTCGATTTTGACTGCCTGATTCCGGAAACACAAACGGATATCAATTCAGACCCGTTCGGGGGGAAACCGCGTACCGTTCAGATCAAATTCTACACAACAGAGTGGAATTTAGGGAGGTAACTCCCCAAATTATGAACCACACGCCACACACCCTTTCATCTCCCATAACCACCCCATTCATTCCCAATTAATCCACCATTATTCACCCATTTAATCTCCATTATTAAAAACCCCCTCTCCCATTCATGTTCTTCATCATTTGTAACCCCCATCCCTTACTCTCATCAAATCCTCTCCTCTCCCTCTTCCTTCCTTGCATTCGGCCAGGCCAGAGCAGCTCCAAGGGGTTTCCGGTGAGAAGACGAGGAGGTAGAAGGAGAGAAGTTCACACGAGAAGCCGTACGTTGACCGTTCGTCCATCCGTTAGACGTCATTCATTCATCTCGTTTCATTGTTCCGTCAATCCCTTCATTTAGAGGTGAGTAGTTGTCTCCTCTAATTCTAGAACATCAAGTCATAATCTATGTTGTTATATTCATAGGAATATCGTACGCAACCTACGTAGAAACTATGCATGTTCGTAGGTTAACCATCCAACATACGTGTGTCCATGTTATCAAGTTATGTTCTCGTTAATATAAACGTTTTGAAACCTTGTAAGTTATTCGATTATCTAGCATAGAAATATAAACATTCGTTTCTAAAACTTCCAACGTTTTGATGACAAACAAACAGATTTAATGGAAGTCAGCGTGCCTTGATAATCGAGTTACAGAATAGTACAATCGACTATCAGGCCACGCTGGACTCCTCAGTTGATTCAGCATAGCGTGATAATCGATTATCACATATGTGATAATCGACTATCAGGCCCTGCGGATTCTTGGGTCTGAGTTAGCTTCACCGATAATCGATTATCACATAGGCAATAATCGATTATCAGGGCTCTCTGAACTTAGGACTTTCTGAACAAACCAACTTGACAATCGATTGTCATAGGGTGACAATCGACTATCACAGTCTGCGGGACTTGGGAACAGAAGCTGCACAGCATGATAATCGATTATCAGCAGTGGACAATCGATTATCAGCCAGTTCTGAACCTAAGGCCATCATGTTAAACAAATTGTAATCAAACACATATGTATGCATTAAATTTAACTTCCTTCTTCAATCAATGCATTCATGTCATTGTGTTCATCCTAGACGTATGTCCTAGGGTCATCATCATGTGCATACCGCTGTAGGGAGGTCAGGCTTTCGTGCACCTACTACAGTGGGCCCATCCATGAACCTTTGGGATCTAATGGGTTTTCATCAGGTGGGCTTTGTGTACGTACATGGTAGTCAGGCTACGGCTACCACCCAGTTTTGCTAGTTCACTTGCGACGTTTTGTCGAGCCCGGCTCATTACCGGAGTGCAGGGGTGATCCCGTCAAGTGAGACTAAGTCAAGGGTATCATGCATCAGGTCATATCGTCATCTTGTATGTTCATGTCACGTCAACATTCAATGTGGTTGTCATCATCATGTATGTTTCCCATCATGTCCATATTCAATGTGGTAGTATATCATTTTGTTATGTGTAATAATATCCCATCAAGTACAAATTAGTCAGTTAGTAAATATGTGTTTTTCCGTACGTTAAGTACAGGTATTAACATGTGTATAATCATATGGGTTATCACTTTATGTTCTTTTGTTAGATTCACTCCTCAGTTTTTGATGAGCATGTAGTTGTTTTTGCTACATGCAGGTAGACATGACGGTACAGGTGCTAACCCTGGAGGACAGTGATGATGAGAGGATGGGCGGCGCACGGACGAGTTTATTAATTAACCATTTAATTAATTAATCATTTGGGCATGAACCCACCATATGTCGTTTTACTTATTTTGGACTTATCAATTTACTTCCGCTTTTACTCTGCATTTAAATCACACATGTTTTGGAATTAATTCCCTAGCATTTATTTCACCAATTAAACTCAACCGTTTTCATAATAAATAGTCATTAATGCACTTTCCTCTACGGACGGTTCTCGAACCGTCCATGTAACCCTACCGGTCCGTTGGGTCGCGGGTGAACCGGGTCCACGGAAGGCGGGTGTTACACTAGCTTCGTCACTTGACTTGCACTGAACAATGTGCTCGAAAAACATTGCATTCTGTGACTCTATGATTATGTTCTTGTGAATTTCAGGATTATCTGATTTGTACACCAAGAACCGGTATGACATACTATTGTACCCAATGAAGATTCCGTCAACTGTTTTTGGACCGATATTCATCTTCTTCGGTGGTGGGGCAAGTACTTTCGCGAGACACCCCCACACTTTAAGATACTTATAAGAAGGTTTCCTATTATTCCTAGGTTCATACAGAGTTTTGTCAAGTTTCTTACGAGGAATTTTATTTAGTAAATAATTACTTGATAAAACAGCCTCCCCCCACATGTTCTAGGGTAATCTAGAACTAAGTAGCATCACATTCATCATGTCTTTCAGAGTGTGATTTTTCCGCTCTGCTACGCCGTTTGACTGCGGTGTATACGGTGGGGTTACTTGATGCAGTATTCCATGTTGTGCACAAAACTCATTAAGTGGAGCATTATACTCACCACCTCTATCGCTTCTCAATGCTTTGATTTTGCGATTGAGTTGATTTTCCACTTCATTTTTATATCGAATAAAAGTGTCTAACGCTTCATCTTTACTTTTCAGTCAATAGATATAGCAATATTTCGTGTTATCATCGACGAAGGTAATAAAGTACTTATTACCCCCTCTTGAAGGCATTGTTCGAAGGAATGATGCCCGAAAACGCCACAATTGTAGCACTTCCCTGCAAATTTAGAAACTCCACCTTTAGGATCTATTTTCTTTTTGTCCTTCCCGCCATGTGAAGAGCCCAAAGGATGTTCAACCACATTCACCTTTGCCGCTCCACCTCTTCTGGCAAGCCCTTCCTCTCGGATCCTCAACCGCGTGAGCAGTTGCTCCAGATTTAGCTCTGTTCTTTTGAGCTTGAGACCGGCTTGGAAACTTTCCAAGAGCGTGGAAGTTTGTAAATGATGGCCGCCACTTGACAGTCCTCGCTGACGGCTACTTTCTCTTCATTGCATTAATTGAAGATTACCCTAAGCTCCTCAGCCTAGGCGACAACAGATTTGCTATCAACCATCTTGTAGTCCAGCATCTTCCCGACGATGAACTTCTTCGTGCCGGCATCTTCAACTTGATATTTTTTGTTCAAGTTACTCCAAAGCTCCTTTGCAAGCTTTGCAGCGGCATAGACGAGGTACAACATCTCGGCCAACCCCTTGAGGATGTAGTTGATGGTGTGATAGTTATTATGGTACCATGCTTGGTTCACCATCGCCACGAGGGGGTCGTTGCTGTCGTTCGCCTGGGGAGGATCTTGTTGTAGGTACTCAGCAAATCCCAGGACGGTAAAAAAGAACGTCATCTTTTGTTGCCACATTTTGAAGTTCGTGCCATTGAACTTCGGTGGCCTTTGGACCGTACTAGCGGGCACAGAAATTGGCCCAAATGCATTGGGCGTATGGAGGAAAGGTCCAATGGACGCCCAGTGAGGTCAAACTAATGGATTGATCGGTGCGTTGAAAGCTGCGTTCGGTCCGAAGTTGATTGTTCCGGCCAAAGCCATAGTCGGTCCGAGGAACGGGTTCGTATTACCAACAGGGTAACCCCCATGGTTTCGAGCCCGGGAATGGGTCGAGGAGCTGACCCGAAGAACAAGCTCGGCATCGAGAAGGAGGTCATGGTGGCGGCCCCCACACTTGACCCAAAGGGCAGCAGTGAGGACGGCACAACCATGGAGCCGAAGTAGTTTAATTTCTACCAGAGCTTCGGAACTCATTCCGTTGCTGGAGGAACCCACGATGATGAATCCGAAGTCCATGATACTACCTTAAGATTGTTAAAGATATTACAGCGGGAAATAATAATAATAAGCCAAACTTATAAAACGTTCGAACTTTACAATGAAATAAAATAAAGAAATTGAAGTCTTCAGGAAGCTTGAACGGATTGAAACACAAGAGGGAACACAAATGGATAGGTGCCTTGATCGGCGAGTAGAGACGTCACACGGAGGGAGGGTGTCGCTGGAGCAATTTCTCGGACAGAGGTAAGGAAAGAGGTGTCGCAGGAGCTTTCCTTAAGGTAGTATTGCCCGCCTCCCGCACTGGCAAACGTGGGCAATCTCCTCCTAGGATAAAACTGCTACGTGCAAGGCCTAGGGCGGTAGAACCGTTCACCGACGAGCGAGCCACAGACGCGAGCGCGGCGCGCCCCGACCCACCGCGGTTTGGCCACCCCCCATTTTTTTGCTTTTTTTTTAAAATTTTTAAACTGTAAAATTATAAATATGTAATTGTTAAAGGAAAGAATGAAATAAAAAAATCTAAAAATGTAGTTGTTATTTAAATATTGTAAAATGAGTAATACACGAACTGAAGAACAACTACATTTAATATCCTGACGGTTCAAAAAAAGCGACGAGGTAAAGAACCGTAAAGAAACCCTCGAAGGAGCTTATAAATTATTCCTCAGAACTCGGACTTCCATCTGTGGTTGCATTCCTGTAATGATTGGAATTGAATTCGTACCCTGACTCTTGAGCTCGACGTATTGCCAAGAGCCAATCTCGGTTGCAAAGTGTTTCAAGAGATTCAGCGCTAAGAGAACTTCGGAAGTCGGTTAGAATGTTGCCGCCAGCACTGAATTCTTGTTCCACTGCTACGGTTGATACCGGGACGGACAACAATTGTCTTGCTAGCATTCAGAGATATATGAACATGTGTTCGTTCCGCTTCCACCATCCGAGGACGTCAAACTCCACATCGTCGTAATCGCATGGCACCCCTTGGTACATAGCAAGTTCGTTGTGCGAGCTTACTGTCGAGCTTACTGTTGTACCACTTGAACTCGTCGAAGGTTGAGCACACTTCCCTTTCTTTGCAAGAAGCCCACCGACTATTCCTTTAAAACCTTTTTTTGATTTGGGGGGCAGAGGAGGTGCTGTTTCTTCTGGTACATTACCGTATAACCCTTGATATTCCTTAAATAAAGTCTCAAAAAGAGTTATAGCATTATCTCTTTTTTTCCATTCTATTAAATGGCTGTAGTAATAATTATTTTCATCTAAAAAAACCGTAGTATTAGTCAATTCAAATTTTATAATTTTCAATCTTAAAGCGTGGATCACAAATACTCCCTCCGTCCCAGAGTATTTGTCCACTTTCATTTTTACACACCATCCAATACGCTTCTTTAATCAATTTTATCTTGTAATTTGTATATTAAAAAATTATAGAAATTATATATTAATAATCTATATGTTATGACAAATCAAACAAGATCACACATGACTATATTTAGGCTTACACATTGAGACAATTTGATGAGTCAAAGTGCTTAGATGAACAGTTCCAAAAGTCAAAAGTGGACAAATATAGCGGGACGGAGGTAGTACTACGTAATACCTGTTTTATAAATATCAGGAATGTACAAATAATAAGCACACCATTTATCTTTCATAGGAGAGACATAAGGGTACAAATCTGGATTAGCCAAACTTTCACGAAAAATGTTGCGATTGTAACGCACTGTTTAAAAAATGTATTTGTAGTTGGTTGGTAAATATGCGAAAAAGTAAGAGTTGCGTTATTAAAAAATTCTAATACGGCATTCAAATTTTCAATAATAACAAATTCAATACGTGAAATTATTAAAAGAAGTTCATCCCTAAAAAAATCAGCAAGTTCCTCTTTGTAGCTTAGAATCTGTGCTATCAACTTATATGTACTATTCCATCTAATGTTGATATCTTTGGCAAATATTATTGCTCTTATACCCTTAGACATACAGAATGTCTTCCAGGCATTCGAAATAAGACAACTACCCCAAATCCTTCTAATTCCATTTTTAATATTCGTCAACCCCCCCTATAGCTTCTAATCCCCGTTTAACACATAAATTTAAAACATGATAGGCACACCGTTGATGCAAAAATCTACTCATACTCGTAGTAGGTGGGCAAATTTCTTTAAGTCTAGGAATAGCAGCAGTATTATTAGTAGCATTATCAAAACCAAATGCAAACATTTTATCAACTAAGTTATATTCCCGCAAAATACGCTGAAGCAATAGAAAAATATTTTCAGCAGTATGAGAATCATTGAAATCACGAAATGCAAGAACACGTTTATACATAATCCAATCACTATCTATCCAATGACAAGTAATACCCATATAAGGCAAATTATGATATGTTTCACCCCAAATATTAGAACAAATAGTAACACGAGAATTAAAATTGAGAAGAAAATTTGCCAAATTCGTTTTTTCATGTTTATACTGTCGAATAATTTCTCATTTAATTGTTTTCCTTGAAAAACCTCTTGCTTGAGGGTTTAATTCCTGTTGACAATAATCAATAAATCCATGTATGGCAAATTTTCTTCACAAATCATTTTGCCCATTTTTTGCTTATTTTGCTAGTTGCTATAAGCAAAAAGACCATGTAACGACCCGAAAACCGGCTTATTAGTTAACCTTTATTTTAATAAAAAAAATAAATGTAATATTTATTTACTCAAAAATATGAATTATTTATAAAGTTGTCCGTTTAAAATAAAAATTAGGTTTTTAGGTAGATCTCGTAAAATGGTGACCAACAATATATAGTTTGTTAAAATTGAACATACGTGTAAAGCGTGGTGAGTAAAATAGAAATTACAGTTCTATAATTAAATATAAAGATTTTAATAATATAATATCATAAAATTAATACCCTACGTCTCCCATTCCAAACTGGAATCAAATTTGGGCCAACTACTGGTAATATATACACCGATAATCCTCTGCTCCATGCTCCTCCTTCGCATGCGCGATACTAGACAAGGAGTCGCCGGGACTCCATCGGGAATCAGACAGTTGACATTCCTGCTCCACCATCCGTTGTCCGTGGCCGCTGGGGAACGGAACAGAGCTGCACGAAGTGGTCTTTTAATCACCGCTGCTCCGTCGTGCCGCCGCTGTTCGCCGGAGGAGCGGACTGCTGCCACGAGCCGGAGGCCCCTGGGTAGCCGCTGGTCTGCTGCCGAGTTGGCCGACATCTTCTTTGAGAATTTGATTTGTTTAATTCGTCAATTAATCGAGGTCAGAACTTGCACATCTAACGCTAGATTATGTATATATATTTGAAATTCACGTTTGTAGTTTCGTATGATTGATTACGTGGTTTATTTGTTTATAATTAAATTATGATCTATTTATATTTTATGATAATATTGGAATTGATTGAACGAAGACAACCAGGTATGTATTCTTACTCTAAATTGTGTAGGTTTGCATGATAATAATCTTTAAAAACGTTGTACATATTGTATGGTTTGGAATTGGATCGAAATCTATCGTTTCTGTGACTTCCCGACGTCAGACGGTAGCTAGGTACCGCCTAGCGGTACCGTGCTACCGCCACTGAAGGTTGCCATTGCCGGTACCTGCGCTTGCACGGTACCAAGGTACCACCTGGCGGTACCAAGGTACCGGAAGGGGTACCGGACCGGCACACCGTTTGATTGATTCTTCATTTGTTTGTTTTGATTCAACTTCCGGATTATTCTCAATTTTTGTGTGTTACATGACGGTAAGTGGAAGGTCTTTACACCTGACACTAGGCTGCTAATTGAGTTGTATGATTGATTGTATGATTGATGTTATATTTATTGTTATAATTAATTATGATCCTGTTGTGTCATGGAAATAAATAAGGGAGTGAGATTGTTGTGGGAATAAGCCTGAATTATAGACATGTTGTAAATAAATGATTAGGCTACCTAGGGGAACTCTAGGACTGCCTTAGTAAGATTGTAAGCATAAATGTCAATAGGTAGAATCAGCCTTGCGGATTGTAAGATTGTAAGCATAAATAATATATGATAATTGATAATATGAATAATGAATGTATTTATATATTATTATATATTAATATTTTTTAAAAACTTATATTATATATTAATTTTTTTGAGTATTTCGAACTATACTAAATATTAAAAAAATTAATTATATATTAAATTTTGAAAATTTTGAAATTATAATATTAGTAATAAACTAAAAATATATGATAATTGATAATATGAATAATGAATGTATTTATAGGTTATTATGTAATATACTAATATATATTTATATTATTTTATGAATATAAATTATATAAGAATTGAAAAGAAGTAATAAGGTTGAGAGATTGAGAGATGGATTGAGTGTGATTTTTTTTTTTTTGAAAAAAATGGTATAATTTATAGTAAATTATCCCCCCTCTCCCCTTCCCCACCTCAAACGGCTAAATAGCCGTTGAGGTGCCCCCCCCCCCACTTTTTTTCCCCTTTTTGCAGGTTTTGCAGGTGTGGTCCATGACAAAGCAAAAAAAACCGGTACCGAAAATTTGGCACCGGAACCGGTTCCTAGAACCGGTGTAACGCCCCGGTCAGCGGTGACGGTGGCATGTACCGGCCGTACTGTTGCCGGTCACGGTACTATACCGGTACCGTGTCCACCCCTAATCCTAGGTTTATTCTAAGAAAATACTTTGTTTTGTGTTTTTCTTCCTTCTATTTTCTTTCCTTCTTCTTTCTCCCCATCCAAACAAGGCTCTGTCTCTCCAAAAAGTTGATGTGAGATCATTTTTTATCTCACTCTACGTGCCAAAAAATATTTATGCATATGAAAGTTTTCAAAAACTTACTGTTGTCGAGTAAAAAAATTTACTCCCATTCAATATACGTAATAGAGTTCTTCTTTAAAAAAATTAGGAGTGCGTAATTCTGAGAGTGCACTTTAAGGATGTTTGTGACACTCTAAAGCAATCTAGTACATCTTAATACTTGCATTATCCTATATCATATCCTATATCCTATATGTAAAAGAGAGTTTCAAAATGTTGGAATACCTGTTTACGCCTATGTCGTACTAAACCGTGTTCGTTTTATGATTGGTTTTTACTTCTGGGCATATTTAAATAGTTGTCTAACAAAAACGCTTCAAAAACCACCTCTCGTTTTTGGTCATTTAGTAAAAACCATGCGAAACGGAGTAAACTTGGCTAGCCGTGGTTTTTATCTAAACGACGTGGTTTTCAAGATGTTTTACTTGTTTTCTTAGCAAAATGCATTAAACAAAGGTTTTCAATATTTGATTTTTACTTTGGAGAACTTAGATTTTTGACATCGGCTAACGGCATGACTAAATCAACCATGGGTCTGGCTAAACCAGCCCAACAGCGGTGTTGGAGTGACCAACAACGCTGTCTGGCATGGGCAGCTGAAAACTATGGTTTGGCGTTAAGTCTTCCAACAACGATGTTGGATGTTAGACATCGCTGTTGAGCCAGGGTTGGGTTTCTAGAACCAGGGTTGGGTTTCTAGAAACATCTGGAACAGCGATGTAGACTTCCCTACATCGCTGTCCAACCTAAGCCAAAAATAAATGCCTTGGTAGTAAGTTTTTGGACAGCGCTGTTGACCTAGCAACAGCGATGTCAGGCCAATTCCTCAACCTTCAAAGTCAGGCCTGAACAGCGATGTTCAAGTAATGAACATCGATGTAGGCACCTGACCGTTGGAAGGAATTTATGGCTAAAAATTTCCTTGTTTGGAAGTCAACAGCCAAAACAGCGATGTAGGGGTTTTGGACATCGCTAGCTGTTGGCTTGACCGTTGCTTCCCAATTTTCAAAAACCAAGCCTAGAACAGCGATGTCCAAGCCATGGATAGCGCTGTCTAGAGGATTTTCAGCAGACCCAATTTTAATCAAATCCCAGAAATTGTGCCAATCACCCCTTAAATGTTTTGATCCGTTGGAGCCTATTTTGGCACTATAAAATGGGGTGTTTGGGTCTGTTTTACATATCACATTACTTCACAACTCCTATTCTTTCATTGCATAACATTCATACATTATTCATAGCTTTTTGAGAGAGTCTCTCGGGAGAGTCTCTCGGGAGGCTGGACTAGCCACAAGTTGTGGTGAACCAGGGTAAAAACGGTGTGCTTCTTCCTTTCTCTTTACTTTACGCTTTTAATTTTTTACTCCTGTGTCATTTTCGTTTCAAACGCTATTCACCCCCCCCCCTCTAGCGTTGGGACGTTTTTCTAACAATTGGTATCAGAGCCTTACTCTCTTCCAGACTTAACCATTTGAGAGGAATAAGATCATGGGCTCTTCTTCTAGAAATTTGTACGCAGGTATTGGCGGAGGGCAATCCACCTCTAGGCCACCGCTTTTTAATGGCACCAACTACTCCTATTGGAAGGAACGGATGAGAATCTATATCCATTCCACCAACTTCCAATGGTGGTTGGTCATAAAAAATGGCGAGCAAATCCCAATGAAGAACGTGGGAGAAACCACAGTCCCAAAGACCGAGGACGAGTTTGATGCCGAGGACATCAAGAAGGTGGAGAATTATGCAAAGGCCATCAATATGCTATATTGTGCGGTCAACCCCGAAGACTACCGAAAGATCTCCTGTTGCACAATCGCCAAGGAGAAGTGGGACAAGCTTGAAGTGATGTACGAAGGTACCGATCAAGTTCGTGAAGCCAAGATCGATTTTCTCACCCAAGAGTACGAAATGTTCCGAATGAAGGAAGGTGAGAAAATCGACGACATGTTTGATCGGTTTTCAAAGATCATAACCTTAAAACTTATGAATCTACTATTCTAACCCCGTCTTTGGATGATCAAAAGAAAAAGGGAATAGCTCTCAAAGCCACCAAGGAACCGGGGGAAGAGGTTCCAAGTGACGATGACAACGAGTTTGGACTCGTCATCAAAAAGTTTCACAAATTCATGAAGAAAGAATCTGAGCGGAAGGGAAGGAAGCACGACGGTCCTTCCAAGTGCTACGGATGTGGCGAGATTGGCCACATCAAGCCGAGGTGTCCAAAGGCCAAGCACGGCAAGGACTAGTCCGACTTCAAGAAGCAAAGGGCTTACATCTCTTAGGGTGGCGATTCCGGCGACGAATCAACCGACCAAGAGGAGGACGAAGCTGCAAACCTTTGCCTCATGGCGCACGAAGACCAAAGCGACGACGTCCAAGAGGTATGTACCATTTCTTCCGACTCTTATACTTTTGAAGAAATGCAAGAAGCACTTCATGAACTTTATGAAGAATTTGTTAGCGCTTCCAAAACAAATAAATCTTTAAAGAAATGTATTTCTACACTTCAAAACGATTTTGAAAAATTGGAAAAAGAAAATGAAAAACTAAAACAATAAAACAAATTTTTTGGAAAAAGAAGCGCTGACAAACCGGAAAGTTCCTCAAGTGAATGTGAATCTTGTAAGGCTTTAAAAGAACAAGTCACTAAACTTGAGAGCACACGGTCAAGAAGTTTAATTCTCCGCACAAAGATTTAAATTTACTCCTTGACACTATGCATTTTTCTAAGGAAGGCATATGTTTTAATAAAAACGAAGCTAAGGTTAAAGAAAGCGTTGAGCAACCACCTAGACAACCACCTAAGGCTCAACGTAAGAAACTTAAAAATCAGAATAATAGAAAACCTAGTCAACCTAAGGACACTAGACAACCTAGACTAAAACTTAGGAATGAAAATGTTCATGGTAGACAACCTAAGAAAAATGATTTTGTGCATAAAACCGATTTTTCTCAAAATAGAAGAAATAATGTTAGAGCACCTAGAAAAGGCCAATTTCAAAACTTTCAAAGACCATCTTTTTCACAAAATAGAAACAATATGGTTAGACCCTCTAACTATTATGAACCTAGGCACATGTACAATCCCAACGTAGTTTGCCATTATTGTAATAAGATAGGCCATATTGCTCCCGTTTGTTACACTAGGCATAGGCACCTATCACAAAATCAAGCACACTACCATCACACACCTAACACACGAGGACCCAACGTAAATTGGGTACCTAAAACTCATTGATGTGTTTCATAGGTGTGCTTGAAGGCATCAAGTGTACTTTGGTACCTTGATAGCGGATGCTCCAAGCAAATGACCGGGGATGCATCCAAGTTTCTCCAAATTAAACCCGCTAAAGGAAGGAATGTGATCTTTGGAGACAATAGCAAAGGAAAAATCATCGACATTGGTTCGGTACCCCGTTCATAAAATCAGGGGGAACCATGCAAACATCGCTGTCCAGGAGATAAACAGCGCTGTTGAAGAAAACACCGTCAACCAACTTGGGCCAACATCGTTGTACAATACACCAACAACGCTGTCACAAGGAGTTCTCTTCCTTTATACTTTCCAGAATCTTTTCCAACAGCGTTGTACACTTCTTAACATCGCTGTTTTCCTAAACACCATGTTTTCAAGCAAAACCAGAACGTTTTTCAACACCGGTGTCCACCTTTGAAACATCGTTGTCCATTTTTTTTCAAATTTTTTTCCAATCATAAAACATCGATGTAGGGAACCCAACAATGCTGTTCTAATGGGTTCAAACCCTTACACATTTCTAGAAAGTTTTGGAACATCACTGTAGGATACCCAACATCGCTGTCCTTTTGACACCTGATTTTTTAAACTTAACGCCGAACAGCGCTGTATGAGGGTACAACAGCGCTGTCCTAACAGCGATGTCTCGTTCAGAACATCGCTGTTCGCGTTGAATCTTTCAAAAAAATAACCGTTGGCAACTGCATTAATTGCTCCAAGAGCCATATTTTTGAAAATCTGGACGTTGGTAACCTCCTTTTCTATATATTGGGACCCCCTCTCTTCACTTTTACACACACAAACACAAATCTCTTCCATCTTTAAGCAAATTTCATCTTCTCCACCCCTTTCTTGTGTGTTCTTCATCCAAAATGGGCAAAGACAAGCAAAGAACAGGTACCTCCGGGAAATCAAAGTCTAAATCCCAGGCTCCTCCTACGACCTCCGAAGAGCGCCTCTACTACGGAGACGGATCGTACCTCTGGTTCGATTCCGAGGAGGAGCGCACCCGTTTTCTCACCTTCTTCTTTAAATGGGTTGTGGCTCCCCCGCGGATTGTCCCGGAGCGCCTACCGGAGTTGCAGGGCTACGACGGCCTCGACGTGCAACTTCACCAAACCGGCCTATGGCTGTTCGTCTCCCGGGCTCGGAAGAAGATCAACCTGGCGCTGATTTGGGCCTTCTACTCCAACCTCCGGCGTGAGGGCGACATGCTCTACTCCCTTGTCAAGAGCACGCCGATCGAGCTCACCATTGAGAAGCTTGGGCGCATCGCCGGCCTCCCCTACCAAGGCAATGACATCTCCAACTATGGTGGAGAAGACTGGGTGCTCAACAACGAGGGCCTTGTCCTCAACGAGCTTGGCATCACCGAGCTCATCCGCCACGCCACGGGCCGTCCCACCATCCACTCCGCGAACCCCGAGAGCCGCCTCCTTCTCTGCATTGTGTCCCGAATCATCAAGCCCCGGAAGCATGGGCACACGATCATGTCCGGTGAGGACCTCAAGCTCCTCCACGCGATCATGCACTCGGCGCCAATCAATTGGGCGAAGTTTGTAATGATCTACATGACGATCGCCGCATCCACCGACCACGATCAACTCCTTCCGTACGCGTTCTTAGTGATGGACATCCTTGAACGGTTCAAGGTCACCACCATCGTTGGCCCGCTCACGAAGGCCACGAAGATTTGGACGATCAGCGCCCAAACCTTCAAAAAGCGGTCGGACAACGCCGGACCCGCCATTGCCGCACCACGCCGCACTGCCCCTGGCCCAGCCGGACCCTAGGCCCGGGCTAACCAAGCCTCCATCGCCGACTCCCTCAACCGACTACACTTCACAGTTGACGGGATGGATGGCTAACTTGAGCGGCTCGACGAGGCTGTTCAACACCAAGGGCATGCCATGAACGCGTACTTCCAACGCGTTAACTACGTCCCTCCACCGTACCATGGCACGTTCCTTGGGGAAGTGTACGGTGACAAGGACGAAGAGGATGGCTCCTACGCCCCGTCAAGCTCCCCGGACGAGGATGAGTTTGACGACGCCATTGATGGTGATGAGATGGATGTCGACGACGACGACGAGGAAGCCGAAGACGAAGACTAGGCCGCCCCTAGAATTTCTATCTCTTTTTTATTGTCATGTTTTTTCACTTGCTTCCGTTGTACTCCGTTATTTCCTATTTCAATAAATAAAAGTTATCTTTTATCTTTTGTTAATGTCAAAAGGGGGAAGAAAAGGGCTATGCATATACTAAGGAGGAACATCTCTAAAAACGGGATCGTTTGATTTTAATATGACTACTTGCTTTCAAGCACAAATTAAGGGGGAACTTTTTCACACTTTTTTTTTTGAAAATTAAATATCCCTTAGTATGCATATCCCCGTCTTGTTTGTCATTATCAAAAAGGGGGATATTGTTGGAACACCGGCTTACGCCTATGTCGTACTAAACCGTGTTCGTTTTATGACAGGTTTTGATAATGCCAAACCGCCGTGACATAACAAGGTTAAACTGAGCAAAACCAAGGCGAAGGAACATGGCATGATGAACTGAGAATCGAGAACCAAGAACCAAGAACGAAGACTTAGGAATTAATTGAGTCGGTTTTAATGTGATCAAGACCGGCACAAACTTCAAAACTTGGCTCTCTAGGCTCGTTTCAGTAAAATATTCTTTTGCATACTCAAAAATGTTTCTCATAAGTTTTAAACAAGCCTAAAACGCTTGGTGTTCACCCAAACCAAAAACCAAGCCATCCGGCGTTCGGTTTTCAGAAACCGGTGTTTGGCATTCGGTTATCAGCGTTGGTTTTTGGCGTCCAAACCAACCAAGTGGTTTTCAACATTTTATGATTGGTTTTCACTTCTGGGCATATTTAAATAGTTGTCTAACAAAAACGCTTCAAAAACCACCTCTCGTTTTTGGTCGTTTAGTAAAAACCATGCGAAACGGAGTAAACTTGGCTAGCCGTGGTTTTTATCTAAATGACGTGGTTTTCAAGATGTTTTACTTGTTTTCTTAGCAAAATGCATTAAACAAAGGTTTTCAATACTTGGTTTTTACTTTGGAGAACTTATATTTTTGACATCGGCTAACGGCATGACTAAATCAACCATGGGTCTGGCTAAACCAGCCCAAGAGCAGTGTTGGAGTGACCAACAACGCTGTCTAGCATGGGCAGCTGAAAACCATGGTTTGGCGTTAAGTCTTCCAACAGCGATGTTGGATGTTAGACATCGTTGTTGAGCCAAGGTTGGGTTTCCAGAAACATCTGGAACAGCGATGTAGACTTCCCTACATCGCTGTCCAACCTAAGCCAAAAATAAATGCCTTGGTAGTAAGTTTTTGGACAGCGCTCTTGACCTAGCAACAGCGATGTCAGGCCAATTCCTCAACCTTCAAAGTCAGGCCTGAACAGCGATGTTCAAGTAATGAACATCGATGTAGGCACCTGACCGTTGGAAGGAATTTATGGCTAAAACTTTCCTTGTTTGGAAGTCAACAGCCAAAACAGTGATGTAGGGGTTTTGGACATCGCTGTTGGCTTGACCATTGCTTCCCAATTTTCAAAAACCAAGCCTAGAACAGTGATGTCCAAGCCATGGATAGCGCTGTCTAGAGGATTTTCAGCAGATCCAATTTTAATCAAATCCCACAAATTGTGCCAATCACCCCTTAAATGTTTTGATCCGTTGGAGCCTATTTTGGCACTATAAAATTGGGTGTTTGGGTCTGTTTTACATATCACATTACTTCACAACTCCTATTCTTTCATTGTATAACATTCATACATTATTCATAGCTTTTTGAGAGCCATTTTTGTGAAGTTCGTGTTGTGTTCTTGAGCGTTCTTAGTTACTCATTATCCACTCTAAAAGAGAGTATTATTCTTGAGTGATTTAGTGTTCTTAGACACTTGATAAGAGTTGTTTCCTTCGAAGGTTTGTTCAGGTTCGTGTGACTCGAACTCTCAAGTTGTACGGGTTTGTTAAGCACCGTTAAGCTTAACGTTAATAGTGTAGCTCGAGACAGTCTCTCGGGAGGCTGGACTAGCCACAAGTTGTGGTGAACCAGGGTAAAAACGGTGTGCTTCTTCCTTGCTCTTTACTTTACGCTTTTAATTTTTTATTCCTGCGTCATTTTCGTTTCAAACGCTTCCCCCCCCCTCTAGCGTTGGGATGTTTTTCTAACACAAAATTGTGGTGACGACATGTGTCATGTGACGTGTGCATAATACTGACATGTGTCACGTAGAGGCGGACCCATGTTGAGTCCCACAGGGTCCCGGGACCCCACGGACCTCCACGTAGGATCTTATATATATTAGATACCCTGATATATTTAGTATATAAATAAGCAAAGCCTTTTGGGGTACAAATCACCTAACGTTGCAATGGATGTGCGGTTAGACATTGAAGGTGGAGATCGAGGGTTCGATTTTGAACAGGTGCTTATGTTTATAACTTTTATGTTCCTCAATTTTATCCTCACGTACTCTAAAAAACATTTTTAATGCAAAATATTTTATTTTATTTTTTAAGTTAGTATTTTTGTATTAATATGTATTTCTTCATTAGACTTTCAGTTTAAAGAAATATTAAATAATTATTAAAATTCTTTCAATTAGACTTTTCCAAAAAAATACCTAAGCAAATCTACTTTTCATTTTATTTGTATTCTTTTTACAATTTACTACCATTTTAAAGTGTGATAAAGAAGAATTATGGATATGTCCTCAATTTTATCCTCAAGTACTCTAAAGAAACATTTTTAATGCAAAATATTTTATTGTATTTTTTGAGGTAGTATTTTTGTATTGATACGTATTTCTTCATTAGACTTTCAGTTTGAAGAAATATTAAATAATTATTTAAATTCTTTCAATTAGACTTTTCATAAAAAAATACCTAAACAAATCTACTTTTCATTTTATTTGTGTTCTTTTTACAATTTACTTCAATTTTTAAAGTGTGATAAAGAAGGATTATGGACAAAAAAATCATTATATCGAATTACTGAATTTTATCTTTAAAAATGAGAGATGTAGAAGTCATGACTTTAAAATTTTCATTTGAGAATCATATTTTGAATGTTCATTTAAATAGTAAATTTTTTAGTTTATTTTTATAGCGTGTGGATAACATAGTATATATAAATGTATGTTTACAATTTAAGAAATGGGACCCCATGTTTCTCAATTCCTGGATCCACCTCTGGTGTCACGCCACATGTAAATCACATGAGACATGTCCATCCATGCATGCATAGTTAATTTTGTATTAAATAATCCTTATATTTTTTTTATAAACTCTTCACTTTCCAACAATAAAAAACCATTATTTTTGTTAGCTTTCAATAAACTTTTAACTTTTTGACTATGTTTTCATTGTTTTAACATATTTTTAAAATATGCACGACTATTTTATAATTTCAAAAAAATATATAAAATTTATTAATTAAAAAAAATTGTTGCTTATAATTTTAAAAATTATCCATCATCTCAAAAAACTATTATATATAAATTTTATCACGCCTGCATCTTTATTAACTTCATAACATATTTTAGTTTTTTTTCTTATTAAATTACTTATTTTATTATATATTTTTTAGCAAACTAAACAAAATAAAAGTTTAATTTAAGGATTAAATGTGGCACATACAAATATTCATTATCTAATTATGTGTCATTCCTTAATTAATCTATTTGAGATTATTAATTTAATTTTTATTAATTAAAAAAATTTTCATTATTATTTTATTTGATGACCATTAATTTTGTATAAAATGTTTATGTCATGCAGGCACTACACCTCCCTACATGTCATGTCACACATGTATATATTTAATATTATTAACTTTTTATAAAAACCTTTAATTTCTTACATTAAATAACTTTTATTTTCATTAAATTTTTATAAACCCTTCACTTTCTTACACTAAATAACCATTATTTTGAACAAAAAGAACATTATTGTTATCAAATTTTCAAAACATTATTATAATTTTTTTATCACATATAAATATTTATTAAGTACAAAATTATTTCAAACTTTTTATCCTATTACATACTACAACATATAGTATAGTATACGGTGTATATTGTTTCAACAAACTAAACAAAACAAAGTCACAGTTGAAAGATAATATGCGCTATATGTCATATATGTTTTTTCTAATTATGTGTCATTACTTAATTGATTCATTTGAATTTTTTTAATTATTTTAATTGAAAATTATTTCATTATTTTTTTATTCAATGACCATTCATTTTGTATAAATTTTTTCAAGTCAAATGTTCACACCATGCCACAAGTGCGTATTTATTTTTATTAAATTTTTATAAACCCTTTCCACTTTCTAGCATTAAATTACCTTAATTTTTATTGAAATTTTATAATTCTTCGCTTTCTAACACTAAATAACCATTATTGTTATTAGATATCTATGGACACTTCACTTTTGAAAATTTTAGAAAATATCTATATAATTATAATAACATGTTTTTTCAAAATGCACAATTATTATAACATAAGAATATATAAACTTCATTAACTAAAAAGCAACATTGTGTATGATTTTTAAAACTATTCACTATTTATTTTATTTTAATTTTTCTCAATAGAACTATTACAATTATATAAATTTTATGATATATGCATTTTTATTTAATATAAAACTAAATTCATACAACAATTATTTTATTATATATTTTTCAACAAACTAAAGAAAAAAAACTTTGTTTAAATGAAGGGTGACATGTGACATATGCCGCATTGCCCGCATATGGACTTTCTAATGGCATGTCATTATGTAATTGATTCATTTGACATTTCTTTTTTTTAATAAAAACCATTTTCATTAACATTTCTTGCCAGGTGTGCTTACTTATTTTTACATTAAATAAGTATTAACTTTATTCATATGTTAAAAACCTTCACTTTCTAACATTAAATCATCAT